ACTTAAAATCCAGATTGTAAATGTAAGATGATATAAAATAGCTATATATATTGTGAGGCTGAAAACAGCATTGTTTAATTGTTTTGGAATGAGCAATTACTTCAACAAAAAATTATCATAATGATAATTTTTGATTGGTCGACACATATTTGCAGCTCTAAAACGCTTCCACAGCAGTAGCATTTTGACCTTATGCATCAAAAACACTGAAGAAAATATCAGACTAGAGAAAGACCTTCCAGAAGGTACTTCTTGACACACTCCGTCTCACTCTCACCTGACCGGTCCACTGATGCCCGCTCCCAACTTCTGTGTCCAGTTGATGCTGTACTCGTCTAGAATGGATGTCTCCTGTCGGGAGAAGAAACCACAACCAAACAGTATATCAGATATTTGAAAGTAAAAAGAAACAAAGTCTGCAGCAGAGCTTGTACAGTATGATTTGCTTTTCAAATATACTTTCAGTGAGAAGAAAAAGAAAAAAGATTATACTAGAAGGACCATTCCTAACCATTGTCAGTACCTAGACTTTCAACTTAAACTTTAGCGTAAAAAAAAGTATCAAAAGATTTCTAAACAACATGTTTAAGACACATATTCTACATTCTATCTAGTTTCACTGTTTGCTTGTAAATATTTCGAACTTTGTGCTGTATTTCAGTAAATTCAGTTAAATGAACCATCTTTCGTTCTTCCTCCTATCCTGAGAATATATTGGCCTTGGCCAGACGGTGCAGTTAATCCTGTGCCCCTGCCAACAGGCACCATCATCCCCCCCCCCATCACTGCCCATCACTGCCCTGCCCAGTCCAACCAGGTATGTGTAAACCCTGATGATGATGATAATTCAGGATGAGGGACACATCAGCTGTAACAGCTACCCAGGGGTCTTGACTCTTTACCATAAACTTCATATCTTTGAAGCATCTGACTTCACTATGCCTAACATTAGTGGCCCTGGATATTGGATCTAACAAATCTTGATACTATTTAAAAATAATAACTTGGAGTATGCCAGGGTCTTGATAAAGGGGAGCTGGGTAAGTCCAAAGCTAACTAGCTAACCCATGAATCGTTCAGCATTATAAGGACCTCAGTGTGTGTTCAAGTTCTCAGTAGCGGGCGGCCCTCCAGTCAACTCTGACTGAACTGTGAAAGCAGGGGGCCAGGGGCACTTGAGATAACATTTTACTGCAGGCATAAATGCCTGGGCAGTGACACATTGAGTGGAGCAAGCCAGGAACAAATCCTAGAGCCAAGGTGATAGAAATGTAAGATTCAGTGTAGCACGTTAGCTGCATTTCAATTAGTCTAAGATTCAGATTTCTGCACACAGCAATGCAGTTTGTATGATAAAGGTGGTTTGTCTTATACAACCGAAGATTAAAACAATGGTAGATTTGTCTCCATAATGCCATATGACACAAACTGCCTCCTTATTTATGTTCTCTGCTGACTCCAAAGCGATCAGTAGCTGCAACCTTTAGTCACACGGACCAATTAGGCATGTCAGTTCCCAAAACGGTCTTGGATGACTGTGCTTTAAAAGTATTGCATCCTCATCCCGATGTGAGCTACAGAGTCACCTTAACCTAGATTAACAAGAAAAAGAGGATTAACTACAATTTGACCAGTACAGAAAAGTAATGATGCATTGGTTCATATGACTCGATGTTTGCTCTTTGTCCGTCGCTTGTTCAGTCATGTGAATTGTTTTAATATGGCTTGTTTAAACTTTTTTTGCTGGTGTTTTAAGTATGTTGTTTGTTCATTTATGTGAAACATGAATGCTGCTGTGCTGTCTTAGCTAGAACTCCTGGAAATATTCCTGATAAATCAAAGAGTAAGACAGAAATATCATAGTTATGACAGTCAAAACTGAACTCCACAGTAATGTTTATTATCCATAAAGCTTTCCATCAACAGATTGTTTATGATTTGCATTTCTATTATGTGTAAATAATAGAAAAACCATTGTGCTGTCAAGAAGGGATATCAATATATGAGATCCTGATACAGCAATATTTAAGTGCACTTCTTAGTGCAGTCTTCATTTGAATAATTTTAGAGCGATAAGCACTTAAGATCATGTTTACTGAAGAAACACTGACAAACATGTTGTAGACCCAGACCTGAGTATAAAATAAATGAAGCAAGTGATATCAGCGTCCAACTGTCACTCTGCAATAGTTTAGACATTATCTTTAAAAGATAATAACATTTCCACCATCAATATCCAGCAATCTTGTCAACTCAACTTTTAAGACTTCTCCTTGTAGGTGTTTCCATTTATCTTTCCTCTATTGATCGTTGATTGTCTGTTTTTATTTGGTTTACTGTCTTATGTAATGTAGAAAATGATCTAATTGTTAACCAGTTTTAAGTTTGAGATCAGTTAAAATGTTACACGACTACACGTTCCAATGTACCTGAATAGTAATAAGTGTTTTAAACATGTCATTTGTTTACACTCCAAACTTCATTAAAGCAAGACCAAACATGATTATTCTTACATTACAGAGGGAATGATGCATTGTCTACTTGAATAAAGATCCACATTTCAATTAGTGAAAAAATGTACCTTGATTAACTTGTCTGCATTGTTATCCTCCGACATGGTGCTGCTGTGCTGCGGACAGATGGATCTCAGACAGACACAAAAGCGTTTTTCTCTGACCTTCACAAAGTTCCAAGGTTTGTTATATTACCACTAAATTACACGACAGGGCCATTGGGGCAAAATGATGTTCGGCCACCGATCTGCAAAATCCCAGTTTCGTCACCCGTGGACCTGAAGCCCACCAGCCGGTACGAGGCGGCGTTAGATCGGGCCGGCGGGGCTCACTACCTCGGGGTCCGGCTAGCTCTTCCAGTCGTCTTAAACTCACTGCGGTGACCATGTAGAGGGCCAAACTCTGAACAAGGTGACCAGAAAATAGGAATACAAGTCCAGTGTGACTAGCCCACCACTTTTGGAGGCGCACAAGAGGTGTATTTTTAGCCAGCGCTATGAGAGCAGTGCTCCGCTAACGCTGAGAAGACACCGGGTCTGGCGAAGTAAGCTAGAGACAATCCATCTTGCGTCCGGGGCCGATGATTACACAACAATGGCAATCGTGAAATATTAAGTAAACCGAGGATATTGTCAGAAAATCTCCTCGATTAGCTGGGTTTATCTGACACGACGAGCACACGGTGTTCCCAGAGACACAGCAGCCTATTATGTCGTCGAGTCGAGCCTGCTAACGAGCTAGCTCAGAGTTAGCTGAGGTGGCAAGTTCGTTTTCCAGATTTACCCAAAGTTAACATACTTCCGTTGGGCGGTGTAATAAAAATCAGCACTGGTACGTCACAATAACAAAGGTTTAAATGTGCAATGTGTTTCAGAGGTGACCAAGAAGACAACACACATCTCTGGACTATTTTGCTAATCCCATAGCTGCTTGTCAGAGGGAATACACAACCAGGGTCCCGAGCTGAACGCCTGATCAAAATCATCGACACGCTTTTGTAATATTGGACAGTACATCAATTACCTTAGTATTTCTCTCGATAAATATGTATTTTTGACAGCGTATTATATATATTGGTCGTTACATTTTCAAATTAAAATCTTCTAAACGTTGTTAAAAACATTTCTTTGGAAATTGCCAAACTGATGGGTCCGTTTAAGGTCCCCGGTTTCTTAAAAAAAAGAAAACTTTATTTATAATTTGCTTTTCGCACAAACAGTGAGACAATCAATTTGGTTTGTACCTATTTAATTATTAATGGTGGACTCAGTGAATTCCAAATAAATTGTATTTTTATTAAAGGACAGGAAATAAATCTGATAGGAAGCGTCCTAAAATAACTGTATTTAGAATTTCACTTTTGAAGAAGTTAAACCATTGATTACAAGTGGTGGGGAATACAGGATGGGGGGTGCCTGCAACAAATATATCTCTATCAGGAGTGCAGTTGTTATCGTTTTCAAAACAGTTATCAAATCATATTAAATATGATATCTTATTTAAATGTTCATAACAAAGTGGATATTCTTGTCTTCATATTCCTCATAATACGAAGAGTTGTTCCTGCTTACTTACTTATACATTTTTATTAAAGTAGGGTGATACATTTGTGCCCAATAATTCATTATATTGGAATGCCATCTGAACTAATCAATACCTATAAAGACTCACTTTAGATCTATGGTTTTATAGCTACAAATATACAAATATGCTGGAGTTAAAGTTCTGAGCAGAAAACAAACTGTTACTGGTATTATGCAAGTGATGTTGATAATAAAAATAAATAAAACACATCTGACTTGTGAACATCTCATAAAGTGTATAGCTTAAATGGGTTTAATTATGCTAAAAGAAAGAAACTGTATGGAGAGATCATGAAATTCACTGAAAATGTCATTAAGTCTTGAACCTAAACATTTGAAAAAGGAAAATGAAAAATAATATAATTTAAAAACAATAATGACATCAGTATTGGACATAAATAGTGTGTTTAAATGATATGCAATGTATAGGAATTGCTTACTGTTTTTCAAGCAACATAACTTGTTATCCTATTATGTGCTAATGTGCAAGTGAATTAAAAAATAAATAAAACGTAACATTACATCATACATGAGGAGTTCAATTTGGGAAAAAGAAAAAACAAGAAGAGATAAAAGGAGACATATCTACATTAAAAGTAGTCATAGATGATAGTCATGGTGGCTTTCTGATTTTTCAGTAGGCTACTTTTAGTGTTTCAAAGTACAGTTTCATTTCATGTTTGAGTTGAGTTATGTTATTTTGACCATTTGTATTATACATTTCAATATAGCCTACAATAAGAAGATTCATAATATAGAACACACCTATTTATTGTAAATAAATCTTATTCCCACATTACATGTCAAACGTGTGAAACGGACTGCCCTTTAATTTCCATATACAAGCAGCGTGTAGATAGTGTGTTTCTATGTGAGAGCGGCTGTGTGCAGTGTGTTTGCCGGCTCACGTGGATGCCTCAAAACAGCCGTCGAGAATTCCGGGACTTCCTGAAAATAGTGCCATGTTTTATGTGGATTTTTGGCAAAACAAACGAGGATCTATTTATTTTGTGTGGTGGTTTAGATTGAATGTGACTACCTTTGTCTTTTCTTTTTAGCGGATCGATTGTCGTCAAAGAAACAGTGTAGGAATATGTGATTATATGTTTCAGCCGTTACACCTATCATATATCCCTCCGCTGTTTTTTGTCCCCTTTCAGACTGTTTTGGTCTTTTCGCTGTTAGCAACGGCAAGAACCTGAGATAGCTGTAAACCCGATTTGAGATTAACGTATTTTTCTGTTAGGATTACACAACGAATTGACAAGAGGTCTAACACTCGTTTTTATTTTTGCGAGAGTGATTGTCACTTGTTGTCTTTTTAAAATATATTTTTTTCCCGTTTTTAACAGTAATTGTACAGATTGCTAATATAGATAGCAACTGTTAGCCAGCTAGTGTCTTAGCATAGCATCTTCCTCAAGAGGCACGTTGACATTACCCTGGTACTAGCTAGACACATTTTAGGATTGCTAACGTTAGCGAGCTGTCACACATCACACCGCCCTATCGTCAAGGAATTGCGGTGTTAATTGGTCGTTTTCAGACGCTGTCTTTTATGGGATCACCATGTCAATGAAGGCCGGTGGAAATCGCAGCAAGCCCGGCGGTGGCAACACGGCTGGAGCCGCCGCCGCCGGTACCGGAGGAAGCGGAGGGGGAAGACAGAATCTGGGCAGGTCTGTACAATAAAAACGTGAACTAAGCTAAATAAAAACACAGCAGCAGGGGCTAATGAGGCTATGTATTAATACTTGGATACAGTCACTTGCAACAGGGCCAGTTTTGAAAGATGACATCCCCGTTAAGTGGTCCAAAACTTGTACGCGTTTCTGAACGTTATGTGGGCCTTGCGACGTGTTGGTCACCTAGCATAACGTTATGCAGTTTAGCTAGCGAGGCCTGTCAGCTTGCCCTAATAATGTTGCAACTTCGACGTAACGTTACCTCCTCTTGCACGGTGGATAACACATCTCTGATTAAATGTTTAAGCATGTTTCAGTGGAGACACATATTTTCCTCCATGTGTGTAGCAGTGATGTTGCTTGCCAAGTGGCTGATATCAGTTTGCGATGAGCTTGGAGTCTATTTAGCTTGCGTTAATTAGCCGTTTGACAGCCCATGCTTGTAATTCAATGCACTTGCCTCATTCAGTATTACAGCGGCTAGCTAACGGGACAGCCCAGGGAATTTTGCAACGAAAAAGACTGCGATAAAACAGCTGTGTTTGTTGTCAGTTTACTGTAATCTATGTTGGTACGTAACCGCAACATTGCTGCAATGGGTTTGCCAAGAAATTGATAAAAACGTGTGGGCGCACGAGAGAAAGGGGGCGGGTGAGGAGGAGAAGGGGGAATTATAGACCGACGGGCTTTCAACCTTGACGTTGCTGTAGCTGCTCCTCTGAAATAATGTCCTTGAAGCATGACATTTCTGTACATGACATGCCGTCCTAAGATTAAGCTAACACAAACGGTCATTGCAGAAGCTGCTTGCGTACCTTTTATTTCTGGGGTTTATTTGGTCCGGCTTCTATCCACCGGTCACTAGGACAGTTCGTCCCATTCATTGTGTCGATCTTCATCCATTAAGGCCGTGCAAAGATGTTGTGGAATACGATAAGAACAGCTGGACTCATGCATACAAAATCAGCATATTTCAATTAGACTGGTTTAATTTTATTATTTAGGAGCTGACTGTGTTCAAGTGAGCATATTGGCCAGTGGATATCATGTAAAGAGAGGTGCCATTACCTATCGAATCGAGTGTAAAAGCCTGGCCATGTGCCAGCTGCTGAACAAGGTGCATTTTAGGACATGCTTGGGAAAAATGTAGGCTACAGAGTGTTTGGCTGAAGGCCCGTTGAACATTATTCCAACCAGGAACATATCCTGGAATCTGTGGGTAATTTCAGATTCTGCATAGCATTATCTATGTAATGCATTTGTCTATGTAACAATAAATGTACATTTTCAAGACATTTCCATGTAGATTAAACAAGATAATGCATTGATTATGATTCTTGGGCTTTGTATCATCTTAAGATGCACACCTCCACCTCTTAATATTTCTACAATTCAGTCTACAGTTGTCCCCATTAAAGAGTGCTTTGTTTTAGTATGAAAGCAGGAACTTCAGTGATAATAGTTTGACAACAATGGCATTTTTCTTTCAGGGGGAGACACAGTGGTAAAGGCCCTGCAGCGGTAAGTAACTGGTTAACTCTCATAAATCAGTGGAACAAAGCTGCCACATGAATACAGTGTCAGTTTTCTATTTAAGGCAATTTAGTTTAAACATGGCACAGAAAAGTCCTGAGAGAATGCATGAATTCAGTGGTAGGATATATGTTTATTGTTACGCATATTGAATTGAAAAAAAGGGACATATGCCTATCTTGCACAATTTTCTTTAGAAATAGGGAACAACAAAAATTAACTGTGTTTTTCCTTTAGGTCATTTTCAATGGTGTATATGCAAACATGAGGATGGTCCATGTCTTGACTTCAGTGGTGGTATGTTTGCTTTGTATCTGTCATGTTAAGTTTTCTTAGTTATGTCTAGCATGTCCTTTTGCACTCTTGCTCCTGTGCTTCAAACACAAGGAACAGAGACATGAGCAGTTTTCAAAAGACACGATGTTTGAACCGTATTGTGCCTACTGTAAATACATTTGTAACAGCCTTATGTACTGCAGTCTGTATTTCCCCACATGCTCTTTCCTTAAAATGTCTACGCTGCTATAAACAAAGCCTGTGCAAACTGTAGAGACAGCTGGTTGCATAAACACAGCAGAGATTGATCAATCATTTGTCTTCTTACAGCAGATAGGTTTCTCAACTTGTTTTTGAATGTGTAAATTGACATTGGCACGAACATAAATGTGTTTCGCATACAGTGAATAATGCCAGGCCTATTTATTCACAGGGCACCAAGTGTGAGCTGAAAGTAAAAAATGGAGCAGTTTACGAAGGAGTATTTAAAACATACGGTCCAGAGGTAAGGATCAAACACTGTGTCCTTTCTAGGTGGTTATATGGAGCTAGATCTGTCATTTCCTTAGTAGCACTGCTAATGATTAAGGTTGCTATACTGGGAAGATAGTGCCCAGCCAGCACTCAATAGCAGCTTGACCCCTGAGGTGGCTCGGGTAAAGATCGCCCTATCCATCTTCCCTTTTATGGAGGGGAAGTGTGTGGCCACCATCTTCCCTTTTTAAGTTGAAGTATTCTCCAATTCTTTCCCAGAGAGGAACATTTCATTCTGCACAAATGAGAAGCTTAACCTGAGCAATGGTAGACATGTTCTGTCCTGTTCACCAGTGGTGTAGTGGGGATTTTTTTACTGGGTGGACGGGGCGGGGGGGGGAGAGACACTATGGACGCGCTTGTGAACTGTCAACGGGGGGGGGGTACACTGTGGACCTCTGTGGACCTCTGTGGACCTCTGTGGACCTCTGTGGACCTCTGTCGCCTGTCAGCGCAACTTACATGATGCCGTTTAAAAAATATAATAATAAAGGGCGGTGCCGGCTGTCAGCGAACCGAGCCGGCCTTTCTGCGCGACTGTCACTCAAATGCGGGACATAGTCTCAATTTGTGGGACGCGGGACAAATGATAAAAATGCTGTGTGCAGTCCCGCACAAAGCGGGACACCTGGTCACCCTACACACACACACACACACAGTGCTGCCCCTCACACACACACACGCTTCAAATCAAGTTGCATAAATACTTGAGCTATGTTTTTATTATAGTTACTGTGAAATGTTTTATGTTTTTGTCATTATTACAATAAATACACACTTGCAACTGATAACACTGGCAATGATTTTATATTTATTAGATTATAAAAAAAAATCATTCTTCAAAAAAGTGGGGGCTCCAAATAAGTGGGGGGACGGCGATCCTCCGTGTCCAACGACCACTACACCACTGCTGTTCACTCTGCAGAGGCTTGGCTCTAACTTCAGTTCTTGATGGGATTTCAATTACCTCCATTATGCCCTATTTTCACACCAAACAGCAGCGTTGGTACTAAGGCCCCGTCCACACGGAGACGAAACGGGTTGTATCCGCTACAGTTCTCTATCGTATAGACGGTTCGTCCACACGAGGCCGACACGGAAACGCGGATAACGATAACGATAACGGGTCCCAAGGTGGGTAGATCTGCAGACGAAACGCTCTGGGGGGCCAAACGGCTCTGTGTGTACGCCCTATACGATCATTTCCTGATAACGATGACGCCATAGCCCCGCCTCTCCCCACCTCTCCTGCTCACCCCCGCGTCACCCGCGTCATTGCTGATGTGTTTCGCCAACAACAATGGCGGATCACAGGGTTGCTTTCGTGCTCCAGACGCTACTGACCATGATACAGATGTTAGTGCAAAATCTACAGCTCCTCTACCACAACCATCATCAACAAGTGGACATGGAGAACTACATGAACTACATGTTGCTAAATCCACCACGGAGAATAAACAGAAGGGCAACCATGGCAACCATGCTCGGGGGGTCTTATTCGCTGCTTTTGGTGTATTTTGTGGCGGAAGTACAGCGCCACTTACAGGCCCGGCATGTGTACTACAGCGTCTCCAGCGGGTCGAGCCGTCTCGTGTGGACGGACACGTTTCTGGTGCCGAGTCTGTGTGGACGGAATACTTTTTTGATATCGACCTCGGTTCGTTTTAGTTTTTGTCTCCGTGTGGACTAAGTATGTTAAACCTCCCAGCTTTATTATAAGGTCATGTGGCTAAATGTGAAAAGTGCTGGCAAGATATTCAAAAATGAATCAAATGTTGTGTGCTCCCACTGGCAAAAACAACCCATTGTTTTCAGACCCAAAACAAAGCATCACATTTGGCTTTTATTACCATAGTGTATACAAGCTGAATATTCCAACATACTAACATTTTCACCACCCATGAGTCAAACAAATTTGGTTGCAGGATTGTATTATATTTACTAGTTGTTTACTCCTTTTGGTTGAAAAAAATGAAGGTCAGAATCTCCCCAAACTTATGTGGATGCCATTGAATGACCAGAACTCAATTCCTTGTCAATCTAACTTTCTTTATATATGCGGTCACATTTTTCAAATTGCTTTAGCAACAAAAGGAAAATATCTTTAATTTACAATTATAGAAGATGGAGAGAGACAGCAGCACATCTTTTCTAAGAAACTAGAACCAGAAAATGTTTGGCATTTTTACTTACTTAAAATATTAATTGTTTATTAAAATACTGCTAATTTAATTTATTTTCATACTAGTCAGCTAATGTGGTGCCTGATTGGAATGACATAATGCTTTTGCTGTAATTCAGATTCCCCTTTAATCTAATGAACCTGACTTCCTCCCTCAGTGTGACCTGGTGCTAGATGCAGCCCACAGAAAGAGCCCAGAGCCGAGCATAGCTCCCAGGAAAGAGGATATTGTGGAGAGCATTATATTCAAGGCCTCAGATGTCGTAGTGGTGACCTTCAAAGATGTGGACCTGAATTTTGCCAGGAAAGGTACTGAGGGCATATGGGGTGATAAATATTATCTGGGCACATGAATAGAAGTCTTAGAAAACATATTCTTGTACATACTTTAAACCCATAGTGCATAGACAACGTGAGTAGGTGAGTTTGACATCTAGTATTCATTGCACATACACAAACATAAACAGAGCTTAAGCCCATCATTGAATACAGACCACATTTTGATTAGCTTCAGACTGTATTCACTACGATGAAGTGCCAGTGGCTTTACCATGAGTTAAATCTTGTGTGTCCTCTCTGAGTGGCCAGTTATTGATGACTAACGTGATATATTGATTGTTCCAAAGGCCTGCCCTAGTGCAGCAAGGACACTCAATAAAAGCTTAATGAGTCTTCTTCATCTAATTAGTCTTGACCCATACAATTCTTCTACAATAATGGGCTGTGTGGGATGGTTTTATTTTCTCAAAATGAACAGGTAAAAAAATAGTGAGGATCTCGCCACATGATTCATGGAGATGGCACTACACTGGTGCCACTTGTTAAATACAATAGTAATCCTGTTCAATTCAATAATTGTGTACTGACTGGAAATTGAACTAAAGCACTATGCCAATGTTGGTAGTATTATTTTGTTAAAATGTTATTTTGATTTTGAAGGTTTCAACTGAATAAATGAATTAAGGTGATGTGGGGGGGTCTGCAAGACACAGCCTGACTAAAACCACTCTATAGTTTTTTTTAAACGATAAACTGTGATCCCCGGTCAGTCATTCTGTCTGTCAGTCCAGCTTCTGACTCTATCATCTCTCTGTCTGTCTCTCCTCTCCAATGCTCTAGTCCCCTCTGACACAGGTAATATATGGCTGTTTTCTACTCTATGCACTCAAACTAATTTGAATCTCTTGGGGTCTGATTTGTGGCTGCTTCTTAAATTCAATGTTATGATATCATTTGGGGATCACCGCTTTCATGATACCTGAGAAAAACATCAAAAAGTCTCATCCATGTCAGTCCTGCTCCATCTGTTCAGTATTTTTGTTATCTTTTGACTGGATGTTGCTTTCAGTGGAAGAGTTGCCACTTGAACTACCGTAACACGAATACTTATTTTACCAGTATTTTTCAGCTGTCAATCAAAGTTATGTTTCAAAATTAGATGTTTAGTTTTATTTGAATTAATCATTATTTAATGTTTTTGGCAATAGCTCTAATGGAGCCTATATGCAGCCATGGTCACTCATGAACATGAGGTTCTGCTGCAGCGTTTTAATTTAACCTTACTGAACCAGAGCTCAGATTAAATCAAATCTAAATGGAAAAGAGAAAATATATGCATGATTCCATTGAAAGCAACAGATTGAAAATGTGTTGAACATTAGAACCCTAATTTACCTTCTAAGCATTGTATTGAAACTCAAATTAAGTTCTATTTTATGAACCATATAAGGATGTTTAATTAATTTTGACCCTGAAGTCTGAGGTCATATGACTGACTAACATCCACATGCATGTTTGCTTACCCCTCACTATGTTTAATTTGTAAATATTCCTTATTGAATGTGCAATTCCCTTAATGGACAGTATGGATATAGCATATCAACCACCTTTACTAATATAACTCAGGCCTGTTCAGTGCACTTTAAATGCTTTGATGCACAGTATTGTTGGATAAATTGGGATGGCTGAGTTATGTAACTCCAGGTGGCTGATGTGCTTAATGCATGCAGTCCATTAGTGCCAGTTCTGAGAATGTGAGTGCAGGCTAGTGCTGACCATAGACTGTATATATGGTGCTGACATGGGATTAGAGTTCCTTTCAGATATTTGCTTTTCTTTGAGCATGCCTGTAAGTGGTTATGGTTGAGCCATGTATGATTCGGTACCGTTCACGTTTGAAACTGGAATTCAGTATCCAACAGTAGTTTTTTTTTTTTTTAGTACTTCATATTTTCTGTAATAACAAAAAGTAATGTCAGTTGTGACAATCAGTCCATAGTTCAACATTTCAATATCGTTATTCAATTAGAACATTTTTTTATATATTCATAGCATTTTACACTGCACACACTCCCAAACTTGGCCTTGTAGACATTTTGACAAACCTACATTTTATTCACAAAATTCTTTACCATTATGTTAGCACCTTAGTGGTTTGATTAGTACATATTTTTACAAGCCGATGTATTAATTGGGAACTCGCTCTTTGCCTTTTTCACAAGGCTGTTTTCAAATTCTTGCTCACAGTCGGAACATTTGATCCTTGTTGGTTTTACCAGGACTTGCTCAAGCAAAAGCTTTGAATTTTTTGAAAGGATTCTATTTCCCAATTCAGTTAGATCCATGCCTTATTGAGAGTGGGTGTGCCTGGTGAACCCACACTCCTTCCCCACAAATAGACCCTTGCTTTGAAAGCATGCAGAAGAAGCTCTTAAGGCATGAGTGCTTTCCTGCATAAACAGTGAGATTGCAGCCATGTGACTGTATACCATCATGAGCTTATGCGGATGTGTTTTTGAGTGTGTGTGCTGTACAGAAATATGCGTTCTTTGTCTGTGCCGCAGACAACTTCACAGATGCTGCAGTGAGCGGTAAGATCAATGGCGAGCATAAAGAGAAGGATCTAGAGCCCTGGGATGGAGGAGAGACCCACAACTCTGACAGCCTGGAGTCTCTGGACACCGATGTCGTAAGAAAACAGACACCAACACAACAAATGCATTGATGCTGTATAAGTTACCCCATAGAGTCCATACAGGCCCTCATATGATGAGTTGTGTCTCTAACGGTGCGTCTACACAGCAGCGTTAAAAAAATCTTGAAACGCTTCTGCCCATTCACTTTGAATGGAGTGACGTCACTTTCCCTCACTTTTCGCCGAAATGCATTGTGGGCAGGCGAGCGGAGATTTTCAGGATTTTCAGGATTCAAAGTTGAACAATGTTCAACTTTTGAGGCTGAGGTGGAAGCGTCAGCCAATCAAATCCCGTGTACGCAAATCTGACAGTTCAAGCTCTAGCCAATCAAACGGCGTGTATGCTGGGAGAGACATACCGCAGGTCATTTCCTCATATTCCAAAAAATGGAGGAGAAATTAGCGGTAGGGAATCACCCGGTGCTTTATGACCAGACCTACCGGGATATAAACCGGAGGAGCCAGGCATGGAGGGAGGTGGCAGAGACAGTGGTATGTTTTCACCTGTTTTGGGGAGTTTATATCCAGTTTACTTCGGGCTTTTTGGCTTCGTATGTCGCGGACGGGAGATTCATGTGATTGGTTGTTCGCAAAAAATCCCCAAGCTTCAGATACGCCCACCTCCAAGATTTTTTTAACGCTGCTGTGTAGACGTACCGTAACAGGGACACAACTCATCTGATCCACAGCATTGATAATGTGTTAATAGACCTCTAGTGAAAATCTCTTTCTTTTCTGCTTCTCTCTCGATATCAGTCAAATGGGTGGGACCCCAATGACATGTTTAAATACAACGAGGAGAAGTATGGAGTGTTGTCTACATATGACAGCAGCCTGTCCACATACACGTAAGCCTTTCTATGTTTGTGTTCTGCTCTGTATGCATCACTTTGTGTTTATTCTGTTCAATATCATGCCTTCTCCTGTATAGACGACATCTACATGTCATACTCCTTATACTGTATTTTGTAATAAAATAATGACTTCTGAATTTATTGTCAATATGTCTGAACATAATCTTGCTATGACATCTTCTGATAGAAGTAAAACATGATATCAGTCCTCCCCAAGTCCCTCCATCAGCCTGCTGACCTTGTCTGACCTGTCCTTGTTTCCCAGGGTCCCCCTGGAGAGGGACAACTCAGAAGAGTTCCTCAAGAGGGAGGCGCGTGCTGCCCAGCTGGCCGAGGAGATTGAGGGCAGCGCCACATACAAGGCCCGCGTGGCCTTAGAGAACGATGAGCGCTCTGAGGAGGAGAAGTATACTGCTGTGATGAGAGGGGATCGGGAGACCCACACACTGAGCAGGTGAGACCAGGACACACATAGACACTTAAGGGCCAATACAACATTAAAATGGTTTAATTGCGGATTGTTCATTTTTATTAGTTCTTCTTGTTTGTAATTGGCTCATGATGCAATGCCAGCTGCTTTTTAAAATGCTTCAGTACAACACTGCAACATTAAAGGTGGGGTAGGTAAGTTTGAGAAACCGGCTCGAGATACACTTTTTGTTATATTCCATGGAATGCTCTTAACATCCCGATAGCAATGAATATCTTAAGTGCTTTGACAAAAAATCCATAAAAAAATGTCATCTGTGGAAGCCGTAATACTGTAAAAAGCACGACCAATCATTTTAGCCGGCCCGGCTAAAATAACTGGATGGCCTACCTGCCTGTCAGCCTTCCATCTGTGCACAAACTTATCTCGTGCCCTCATTGGTCATGTGCACGTTCGTGTGTGTTGGAGGAGGGGCTCTGTAGTGGCAGATTTTATCCGGTTGTGTATTTTCAAAATCTAGCGCACTCGAGCTGGTTTCTCCAAAATTACCTACCCCACCTTTAACATAGTTTATACTTTATATAATAAAAGTGAATTTATACTATATATTTTTATTGTCATTATTATTATCATTAAATATGCATTCTTTAAAGTTATAGCACTGGCCTTGTCTGTTTCAATCTTAATGGCATGTAGATGTGTTGGAGCAGACATCATTCATGTTTTATTGTTATAAATGATTCAATATCATATTACTTGCACCCCTTTTTAACAAACCGCTACATAGTTATGCATTAAAATTGACTATAAAATCAGAGATACATTTTCATCATAGAGCAGTTATACAGTATCTTAATAAACACAGTACCTGTGGAATAAAAAGGGAATCCTACACACTTGTGTACAGAGTTTATTTCCACTGCCTGATATCTTAATGAAGACTTTACAAGTGAAGGACATTTGTACTTTATGTACGTAGATTTTATTTATAGTTGCATGCCATACAACACGAAGAATAATACCTACATGTGTAAACCTAATGCCTGCAGTCTAAGTTATTCCAGCAAATACACTAAGTACACATAGGCAATCCCAGAAAAAAGACTTCTTAGTAATTTAAATAACATGCTCATCTTGGCTGATGAGAACTGATGTAGTTGAATGTAATAATGTAGAATGAATTCTTCCCTCCTTAATTATCTATTATCGTCAGATGTATTTGACTAAACCATTTGCCTGTGTGTGTCTGTATGCAGAGAGAACAAGTACATTCCTCCGGGTCAGAGGAGCAGGGAGACGATGTCCTGGGGCCCGGGACGTCAGAACCCATCTCGCCTGGCTCAGAGCTCAGCGGGCCCCTCGGCTCCTCGAGCAGGACCTCACGACTACAGTCCCAGCGCCGGGGCTGACCAGAGAGTGGTTAACGGAGGTATGTTTAATAAGTCACACACAAACCTATGGGGCTACATGCTAAATGCTAAACAACCACATACTACAGAGGGCCAGATACTGTTCTCTCCCATCCTGTCCTTTTACTGATTTAAAGCCAGTTCTTAATCAGAGTCTGGGGGATGTTCATATTCGTTGTTGCTGTTAATTTTTTAATAATAATATTTCCGCCTTATCATTCTTTCTCATATTTATTAATCTCCCCTTCCTTATATTCCTGCTATATCTTGGTTTCCCCCACTATTACTTGTTGTTATCTGCCATTTGTCATCCTTGATCATTTGTCCTTCCCTCTTTTAGGTTCATCCCATTGGCACTCACCCTGTCCGTCTCCTTCCTCCCGCCCCCCCCCCCTCGTTACCAGTCTGGCCCCTCCTCCCTGCCTCCTAGGGCGACCACGCCCACCAGGCCACCCTCCAGACCCCCCTCTCGACCTTCCAGGCCTCCCTCTCATTCATCCCACCCCTCCTATCCCTCCTCCTCATCCTCCTTTTCCCACCATGGGCCTACGTCACCAGCCTCCACTCTGCCCAAACGCATGTCTTCAGAAGGTAGCCACATCAGTGTGGAGCAGACCTGGGCAAAGGCATGAGTTGAAGGTGGAGGGATTGAGCTCAATGTGGAAATTATATTCCATGACAATTACACTGAAAGATGTTAGAAGCGTCTTAAAAGTTAAATAGGCAAACTACTTTCAAAAATACATTTGCCCAGGTCTAGTGTGGAACATTAAAACGGGTGAAGTTGCTTCTTCAGACTGATTTGGGGTCATATTTGCAATTTCCATACAGATGGAAATGTTGAGGATTTGGTAAGCCACTAAGAGGATCCTCTATCAAAGTGTGAGAGCGTTTCAGCTTGGCATGTGGGTGCCCCTCGATGTTTGCTTTGTAATGTTAGATCACCATGGCACCAGTGTCTCATAATGCTTCTTATGGAGCCTTCAAGAGGAAGAACAGACATCGCAACATTTTGGCTAATAAGGAATGTTGTTGCTGATTAAATCATTAAAAACAGATGTTACCCTAAAAGGAACGAAGGAAACATTTCAAAGGCTCGATTTCTATATTTGTATCAGTTGGTCTCTATTCAGACTGTGCTTAATCATGTCATTTTGTGTTGTGTTGGCTTTGTACTCAAGCACTGGATTTGAAATAATATCAACCAATATGAGGTTAAATGAAAAGCTTTGAGCTTCAACTTGTTAGCCACCTCTTTTGCTTAAAACATTTTACAAGTCAGTTGCACCTCTGATGAGACCCAGCAAGTTTGATCTGTTGATCACATTTTTAATGGGAGTAAAATGGGAAATGATTGAACCTATGTTCAGCCAAAGATCAGTTTTGCAGTGTGCCGTCGCTTGTGAAACACCATACAAACTGCTAAAAGGTGATTTCTGAAATACAGCTTCCCTCCTCACCTTTTTCCTCCTCTCCCCGTTTCCCCTCCCTCACTTCACTTGGCTTTGGTTTGAAGTGTGATGTGTTTTGATCACTTTACAGGATTATCTGCAGATCCTCCACTAACATGCATGTCAACAAATAACATGACTGTGTGATGTGATATTTAAACCTTGAATAAGATGTACTCTGTGCAGAGGTTTGGGTTTTTTAAAGAATGTGTAGGACAAAGACGAGTTTAAGAGAATCCTCCACAGCAGGAGTGTACACAGGCTGTCAGTGTTTACCTTGCCTCCACGGTCTGCATTCACCGTTCTGTCTGTCCTCATCTGTCTTTCTTCATCCACAGGCCCACCCAGGATGTCTCCTAAATCCCAGCGGACGCCTCGTTCTCACAGAGCGCCACCCTGTAGGACCACCGGAGGGGATTTCATTTCCCACAATGCTCCTGGAGAGGTCCCAGTGACTCCACCAACCAGGAGCAGCTCCTCTGGAGGGACATGGTCCTCTGTGGTTAGCGGAGGTAGAATAGATTTTTGCTTCCATGTCCAACTGTAGGAACATTTCTGCGCACGTTTTAAGAGCTGTGCATTGAACATAAAATCTTTCAACGGTTTCAATATAACAATGTGCAATCATGGGTGAAAGCCTAAAGTATTTCATTACTTCTAAACTTGTAATGGCCAAGTTGATTGGGGTAACTTAGAAATGTTTTATATTATTTGTAATAATTTCTTCTTCCCCTCCTCAGCTCACAGACCTCGCTCCCCCCGACAGAATAATATGGGTGGAGCCTCTTCTGGCTCCTCCTCCCTCCCAGCAGCCCAGACAGGAGCTGCTCCTGTGGAAACCGTTTCTACAGCAACATCAGCTTCCTCTCCTAATGCTGCTAGCCCCGCCCCCAACATGGTCACCTCTTCTTCGGCAGATGGTAATGTGAAAGTAACACTTTCATTGAGATTGATTGAATGAATGATTGTTGTGCAGAATGTAACACCTGATTTGTGGATTTGACGTTTTAGTGTACGTTCTGTCACTGCCAGAAGCATGTGTTTTTTGCTGGGAGTCTAATGACTGTTTTTCTGTTAAAGCAAAAGAGTGTCGCGTCCAAGAGACAAGACAGACATCCCCCACGGCTAACAAGGAGAACATCAAGCCCTTGGACAGCTCACCTAGTGTCACCAGACCAGTCTGTAAAGGTACAGCTCACACCGGTCAGCATGTTGACTGTATCTATTTGGTTATCACTGAAAACCTCAATTGTGTATCTCTCTACTTGCCTTACAGGACCCCCTTCTATGGCACCAGACCACAGAAAACAAATAGATAATTTAAAGAAATTCAGTGTAGATTTTAGGGTAAGTGTTGGAAATCTGGCCTAACTCACCTCATGTTTTTGAGGCAGCACTAGAGCTTGAATGCGCCTCCTCTAACTCTTTTAATTTAATTTCTCCTTTTCCAGTTGCAGTCTAGTTCAAACTCAGACCCTGCCTTTGACCCAATGATGACCAAGCCCCCCAGAGATCCAGCAGACAAGCCGAAAGATCTTCCCATGGACAAAGCCTCCTCAGTGGGGCGGGAGGGCCCTGAAGACGGTGTGGCTGGTGGAGCACCTGCTCCATCCACCACAAACGCCAGTAAGCCTGGCAGCCCTGCTGCTCTGTCCCCGTCCCCCTCAGCCCCTGACCAGAAGAGGGCGGGGCTTGATGTGGCATCACAGGGAGTCCAGACCAACGCCACGTCCTCATTCAGCGGAGCCAAGCATGAAGAGAAGGAGGAGAAAAAGGAGGCCGTACACGAGTGAGTGGATGAGACTGAACGTATGTTTAAAGGATAAGTGGGGCTGCTCTGTGTTTATCCTGGCATCAACAACTCACATGGAAAGACCAAAACCAACATAGTCTTGATCCTAACAAGTATTTTATGTGTAGTCAAAGCCTGGTATATTAAAATCCATTGTGGCCCGAACACTATTCAAAACACATCAATGTGCTACACTGTGCTGCCTGATATACTCACTAGATAACCAAATGTGTTTTAATCAGCTGCTGAAAATAGTCCACAATGCAATGCTTATTCCTGTTTGAGGATTGTTTGCCCAGCTGTTTTAGGAAATATGTTAGTCTTTTTAAAGGAATATATACATTTGATGACTGTCAAATGTATACTTCTTCACTGTTTGCTTTCCTCCTGCAGTCAAGTGAGAAAATCAACTCTGAACCCGAATGCCCATGAGTTCAAACCCAGGTTTAACACGCAGGTCAGTATGCTGTGCCAGACAAGACTATTTAAATATGACACACTGAGCATGTTATTTGACTAACTTTCCATGTCTGTTTTTCCATGCTCCTTCATCAGCCCAAACCAGCCAACACCCCGACGCCCCCCCGGCCTCAGGGCCAGCCCAGCCCCTCCATCGTGGTGCAGCAGCCCCCCGCTGTCTACGGACAGACAGTGTGCTTCCCCCAGATGTATCCTCTCACACCAGTCAGCCCCGGAGTGCAGGTGAGACCCCGGCATGCTGAAATGTGCAGTATGAAAACTGAAAGGTTGCTTGTTTCTTTTCAATCACCCTTAATGTGTCACATTCCATCGTAGTTGTAAACACATCCCTCACGATCACCAGTATGTCTCCCAACATGTCTGCTAATGTTTGTCCTCATTTGGTATTTTCTTCTAATATCCTCTCTTTGATTAATTTATAATGCACGTCAACATATATTTTTTTCTTATTAATTTATTTTTCAATAGGCTACTTTTCTTAACTTTTTTTTTTTTCTACACCTTGTTATCATTTTACAACTTTTCTTTCTTCTGTCATCTTTCAGACACAGTTTTTTTGTTGAAATATTTAAGAAATGTTTTCTTATATTTGGGATAACAGGAGGAATCGTACATCATTTTTGTATATATTATTATGTCAAAGGTATTGACCATATTTCTGATGAAAGCTTTTACATTTGTAGATGTAAATCTATACGTTTCCCGTTGTTGCTTTAAGAAAAACTTGGTGATCCAACATCAGACACGTGTAAACGATAAAATAACTTGGTGAATCTAAGAGTGGTTCTTTTTTCCTTTTCTCCCCCTCCTCCTCTCTCTCTCTCGCTCCCTTAGAAAAGCATAATATGGAAGGTTTGTGAATTTTTTTTAATCCTTTTGTTTTTTAAAAGCCCAATCTGTCTTAAGATGTTTTTCTTGCTTGTTCAAATAATGCCATCAGATGTTGGTTTGCCAACTTCTTATTGCAATCCATTCTAAACTGTCATCACGGATAGACTTTGGTTCACCCGTTTATCACATGGCTGTCAGCTCATAAGAGTTTGAGCCTCTTTGTTTATGCTGCAGCACTGTTTGTAAAATAAAGGTAATGTTACAGGAATAGGAGATGACAAATAGAGTTTGGGTCACCTTTTTCTGACCAATAAGAGACGGGCATAGAAAATGCATGTGGCCCCAGGTAAGATGCACATACCTATTCCATTTGTTTTGTATGTATTGGGTGAGGGGTTAGCTACCCAAGCTACCAGCTGAATAGTTCAGCCTCACAGACGGGTTGTAAGAGTAATGCCACAAAAGAAAGCATACAGTCACATGTTGTAAGTCAAAGGCTGGTTTCATTGTTGTAGAAATGATGATAAAGTGTCCCGAGAAGATTAAGTATGAACTTGTTTTCTTCACTCCCCCCTTCATGACTCCAGGCTCCAGCTATGTACCAGGTCCAGATGCCTCACATGACAGTCGGCCAGTCTAAACCCTACAGACCAGGTAAAGGTGAGAACAACCACCGCTTTGCTCTTTTGCCTCCCACCTCTCCTGCTGGCTCTCTCTCTCTCTCTCTCTCTCTTTCCATCTGGCCCTGAATGCATCATGTATTATAATAAGTAGCAGGTCAACATAATGATTACTAATGGACAAAATTATTCTCACCACTTCCTTGAGCTTGACAGAAAGTGTATCTGCTTGATTTAATAAAACACTTCATTACACCAGCGGGAAATTGATTTTCAGTGTTGGTGAAAAATAGAACATGCACAGTAGCAGTCAAAGACACAGACCATATATACAAGTCATGCATAACAGGCAGAAGAAAGCAGTGCTTATAGAAGTACGAACATGTGTTTTTAATCTCAATGAGACCTATCCTGGTTAAATAAAAAATAAATAAATAAATAAAAAGATAAGATAACAGAGTTGTTAAAAACTGTTAAACGGAAAGAATAAACGGTTACACCTCCTGCTGCCTTGATATTATTCCAACAGGATTTTTCAAAAATGTTTTTCATTGCATGGCCTCAGATCTACTTCATATAGTAAACAAGTCTCCTCACTCAGGTGTTTTTCCACAGGCCCTGAAAACTGCAGTCATTAAACCACTCTTAAAAAAGAATAATCTTGATGCTTCAGTAATGAACAATTACAGGCCCATATCAAACCTGCCATTTCTAGGTAAAATCATTGAAAAAGTTGTTTTTCAACAGTTGAGTAATTTCTTGCATTTAAATAACTGTTTGGATGTGTTCCAGTCAGACTTTCGACCAAACCACAGCACTGAGACTGCTCTTGTAAAGGTCTTCAATGACATCCACTTAAACACAGACAGTGGCAGAACTTCAGTGTTAGTATTATTAGATCTCAGTGCTGCGTTTGATACTGTTGACCACAACATATTACTAGACCGACTAGGAAACTGGGTGGGACTTTCGGAAACAGTTCTAAATTGGTTTGAATCCTACTTAAAGGACAGAAACAATTTTGTTTCTATAGGTAAATACACATCTGAGTTGACACATATGACATGTGGGGTACCTCAAGGCTCCATCTTGGGGCCTCTTCTCTTTAACATCTACATCAGGAGTGCCCAACCTTTTTTGAACCGAGAGCTACTTTTAAAGTTGCCAGTCTGCCGAGATCTACCAGTCCAAATAGAGAGGCGTAGCCATTACTGACAGCCTACTACCAGGTAAATACACACTTCTACTTGTATAAAACTGACCTTTGTACGATTAATACTTCATAAAATACTGCAGATCCTTTATCTTACCTCTTTCTAATCTACACACATACAAGTATTTAACTGAAGTTACACAACAGTGTTGTTGATACAGAGTTGGAGTTTATTCACACGTCACAAACTACAGTGGGTAATGTTTTCAAGAAACATTGAACAGTGCTGCCACATATGACACAGGAAAAAAAGAAAAGACTCAACTCAGATCTGAAGCTACACAGGAATCTGCTGCCAAAGTGCAATAAAAAAGACAAAATTAATAGAATCAAACCCTTTTTTTTTTTTGCATTTTAGTATAAAAAGAAATGCCTTTAAAATAGGATGCAAGCAACACTAGTTTCTTAACCTGAATTGATAATAGACTATAATCAATTTAAACAGAACAGATCTTAATGTTTGCATTCTTATACCATTTTGTACAATAATTATAATGAATAAGTTCAAACAAACTAAAACTTACAGCTGATTAATAACGGTATCAAACTTGAGTTTTTATTATATCAAAAACCTGTTGAAATGCTACTGTTATTTTTACTGTCCCCAAAAAGCGCGTCGGCAGCCTCCAGGAATGCTTCTTTCACAACTTCGCCATCTTTGAAAGACTTCATGTGTTTCGCAAGAACGTGACTGACACGATAAGATGCTATGGTAGCAGCCTTGCTCTTGGGCTTTTTTGCTTCTGCCATAATTGTGGTCTTGTGTGTGTGCGGACTGTCACTCCTGTTGCCACGGACAACGTCAGCGAACTAGTGCCCACTTCCCACCAGCCACGCCCCGACACATGGGGTCACGCCAATCACAAAGCTTTGATGCGTTCAAGTGCATTATTCTGGCACAGGAAGATTATGTTATAGGACATTAACGATAAAACAGAATAATATTGTTCTATTTTTAGACACATCTCGCGATCGACTGGTTGGGCACCCCTGATCTACATGCTACCACTGGCTCAGATAATGAAAAACAACAAAATAAGTTACCATAGCTATGCGGATGACACACATATTTACGTAACAATTTCACCAGGAGACTATGCTCCAATTCAAACACTGAGTAAGTGCATTGAACAAATCAATGACTGGATGTGTCAGAACCTTCTCCAATTAAACAAAGATAAAACTGAGGTAATGGTTTTTGGAGCCAAGGCAGAACGTATAAAAGTTAGCGCTGAGCTTCAGTCTGCAATGTTCAAAACAACAGATAAAGCCAGAAATCTAGGTGTAGTCATGGACTCTGACCTGAGTTTCAACAGTCACATTAAAACAGTTACTAAATCAGCCTACTATCACCTAAAGAACATATCTAGGATTAAAAGACTAATGTCACAGCAGGATTTAGAAAAACGTGTCCATGCTTTTATCTTCAGTAGACTCGACTACTGCAATGGTGTCTTTACAGGTCTCACTAAAATATCTATTAGAAAGCTGCAGCTAATTCAGAACGCTGCTGCTCGAGTCCTCACTAACACTAAGAAAGTGGATCACATCACCCCTGTTCTGAAGTCCTTACACTGGCTTCCTGTGTGTCAAAGAATAGATTTCAAAATATTGCTGCTGGTTTATAAAGCTTTGAATGGTTTAGGTCCAAAATACATTTCTGACCTACTGCTAAATTATGAACCATCCAGAACTCTCAGGTCTTCAGGGACTGGTCAGCTTTCTGTCCCCAGAGTCAGAATTAAACATGGTAAAGCAGCATTCAGTTATTATGCTCCAAATATCTGGAACAAACTCCTAGAAACCTGCAGGTCCGCTGCAACTCTTACTACTTTTAAATCCAGGCTGAAGACTTTTCTTTTTGCCGCTGCTTTTAATTGAACTATTCATATCTTAAACTGCACTGTAACTTTTATCCATGTATTTTTTTCTTTTAATGTTTATTTTATTATCTTTGCTTTTTAATGACTGTTTTTAAATGCCATTTTCTTAATGTCTTTCATTTTTGTAAAGCACTTTGAATTGCCTTGTGTTGAAAGGTGCTATATAAATAAACTTGCCTTGCCTTGCCTTACACTTATCTGGGATGAGCTACATTAATTGCAGGTTTTAATACATGCATTAATTCACCTTTACAAGAGAAAAGGCTCCAGAAATTACTAATATAATTTGTACTACTCGTATCATGAAAAACTTTCCCCTCAGGACTCATCTAATCAATTGATGCTTGTCTTCAGAAATGGAATGGGGGGTTATCTTATTACCAGCTGTCTTGTATTCTAGCTTTTTTGGTAAATCATTTGCGTAAAAACCAGGAGTTAGTTTTCTCCTTCCTCCATGATCATGTTTCAGGTTTATAGAATGTTAAACAAAACTTCTGCCCCATGAAATCTCTTTAGTACCCAACATGCCCCAGCAGAGGTCAGAGCAGCACCACCCCCAAGGCACGGCCACCATGATGCACCCAGCCACCGCAGCGGGACCCCCTATTGTAGCACAGAGCCCCGCCTACTCTGCCCAGTACTTCACCTGCAGCCCGCAGCAGTTCACCAATCAGCCTCTGGTGCAGCAGATGACACATTACCAATCACAGGTGAGGAGTGTCAGAGCGATGTGGACTGAAATATGTCACCATTACAGCTGTCCGTATTTACTTTAGCGGATTTTACTCAGTGTGAACAGTCAAGTGAGGAACACAGGCAGATGACTTTAGGGTGATTAAGAAAAACATAATGATAGGGGATTCCTTCATTTGTATTGGTTTAAACATCATTGAGACATTCAATTAATAAATAAAAATGGGATGAGATAATGAGAGCTAGTTAGAAAAAGATTAAAACCTCTGGAAAAACAACTTCATTAGACTCTAATTACATTGCTGAACGCACAAGAAAAATCCTCAAAGCCTACTCAAGGCACCAATTTAAATTAAGTAAGGGATAATGTGCAGCGAGCCGGTCATTATGCGTAAAAGAACACCCGACAGGCAGATCAGGATCCCGCTTATTACAAGGCCACATTCTCAACAAAGTAACGACATGACTCCCAATATGAATTGAAATGCTTTTATGGATTTAGAAAATGTTTTTATTGATTTAAAAAATAGTTGTATGTATTGATTTAAATTGACATGCATCCGCTAAGAAAGATAGTCCGTTGTTACCGTTTGAAAAACGTAGCAACGGCAGGAAGGCGGAGCTTTTTGATTACAGATTTGAAAACATCTTTGCTTGCTTTAAAAGTAGCACAATTCATTATGTCAAACCTTGGGAAGTATCTAGATATCCCTGCCCTAATGCCAAAGTAACTGGCAACTGAATATGTTTTGCCGTTTCATGTCTATGTCTGGACCGCTGCGTAAAAAGGAGGGTTTCTGCCCGTTACTTCTCCGCTGTTTTCTTGTCTATCTTGTCTTGTCAGTTTGAAAAGCAAACTTTTATACAGTTTGCTTTTCAGCCAAACTGTATACAGTTCAATCGACCGGACTTCTTTGTGCAGATGTGAGCGTCCTTAACAACGGTCAATAAGTCCTTGACAGCGGTCTGTCTGTTCTGGATTAACAACGTGTCACGTGTTCTGAATTGACCAATCAGAATCGAGTATTCAACTAAGCCATGTAATAAGTATAATTTAAATTGTTTCTTTTTGTGTCGAAAATGTATCGGATTCACATAAACCAGAGAAATATCTGCTCAAACCAGATGTTAAATTATGTTTGGTTTTCTTTATTTGATGCTACAATATAGTTTGTACATCTGAGGTTGGATACCCTGCCATAGGCAAAGACAAACCTTATTTATAATGACACACACACACACACACACACACACACACACACACACACACACACACACACAGACACACACACACACACTCTAATACTGATGCTGTCGGTCCCCTGTGTGTCCTCCAGGCTCAGCATGTGTTCAGTCCTGTCATGCAGGGCAGTGCCAGGATGATGGCCCCCCCCCACACACGGCCAGCCCACCCTGGTGTCCTCCTCCACCACACAGTACCCAGAGCAGACACACACCATGTATGGTACGTCAGCACCCCACTTGTGTATGTTCATATGCAACCGGCAACAAAGTGCAGGTAATAATGTGTGTAGGGGGGAGGGAGGGGGGGAGGGAGTACAATCTTATCTTCTCTGATTCTGAATCGATTCACAACTTCAAAATCAATTCTTTCTACATGGGTGGCAGTTATCCTGAAACATCTGGCAAAATACCAGTTTAACTGTGTTGTTTATTTCAATTTTTATTTAGCACATTTCTTTGAATATATAAAGGCAGCTAGCCTATGTCTACCAATGTCTTTTTATGTAATGTATGAAGCATTTTATTTTCTATAATTATTTGAACTTGCTATTCTGAAGTCTCTGAGAAATTGGGAAATGCTAAAGTAGTTTTTTGTATAAAGTGTTTATTTGTGGAAGTTTAAGAATAGTTTAGCCCTCAATTAGCAAACTATTTCTTGAATTTGAGATTGGGTGTCATGCAACCAGTTTTTTTAAACATACCAATACAAACTATAAAATCCATAATGAATTGACAGCAGTATGGACAAAGCGAGCAGTCAGTCCCCAGTTCACCTGTCCAGCTCCGTGTTCTCCTCTCAGTGACTAGCTGCTTCTGCAAGGATCGTCTTTTACTCAACTTCCATGCCATCCTCAGCCACACCGCCTTTATTAACCCACAGCCGACTGGAGTAGAAAGTAAACTAGCACCACATATTTCTGAATCCAAAATGGATTTTGAATTGTTTTGAATCGAAGTCAAATCGAGATACCGAAAGATTCACACCTCTATTTCTGTTTTAATTATTTAATTACCTTACATTACATTCTTCTGTTCCTCCTTACACTGCTTCCTGTCTCACAGTGTCTCCAGGGCCAATGCCTCAGCAGTACCCCCACCCCAACGCCACTTTGCACCCTCACCAACAGCACCCCCAGCCCTCTGCCACGCCTACAGGCCAGGGCCAGCAGGGCGGGCCCCAACAACACGGAGTCCCTCAGAACCACCCCGCTGCCAGCCCAGTGCAGCACTCCCAGCACCAGCAGGCGGCCGCAGGTGAGCTTCCCTGCCTGTCCTCACGGAAAGAGATTCTAGAAGCATTTCTCACATCGACGTGCCAACCACGACTTTTTACCTTTTTGTTGCATTAAGTTTATTTATGTATTCATTTATTTAACGGGGACTGTCCCTGTTAAATAAATGAATACATTAATTAAGCACATTAATCAACATTTCTGAGTTAGCCAAGAGGCTATTTTTCATCTGTAGTCCCTGGACAGATTTTATAAGTCACCCTAAACTAGTGTTTCTCAAAGTGGGGGGGGCGAGAGACCAGGAGGAAAAATGGTTATTACATTTTTTTTTGAAAAATTATTGATTCGAAAATAATATGATACAGTACAATTACATCTGGGTCTCTGTGTTTCATTCAAGCTCGGCTCTGTGTGTGTGTGGAAGGGAGAGAGAGAGAGCGCACCGGTACCGGAGATCGTTGTTGTTAGCTTCTGGTGCTAGCGAGCTACGCTAACGGATATAAGGAGCTTTTTCAACAACAAGCTGGAGGAGAGTCCTCTCCTGTCAGACTGAGAGGCTCAGTGAACTAAAGGACTCTCTCAGTGTTTAGATAGTTAACTTTAGTCCAAGTTATCTCAGTGGGTCTCAAACGTTTTGGTCACCATTAATGTAAACAATTATTTCCGAGGCACACGTTTATATGATCATTATAGTTATACAAAAATAAGAGAATAAATGAAAAACAGGTTTGAAATACTATATGACAGTAAAAAAAGAATAAAGTTTAAAAGGGTGATTTGTAAAATATCCATAAAGAAAAAGTAAATCTGTTTAAATATCATAAATATATTAGTGTATATGTGTTTAAAATATAAACAGTTCTTGCATTGATCGATCAAGGCTCCCATCCTGTCTCTCTACAGGCAGATTCCACTCACTCATTACGGTGGGCAGGGAAATAAAACCAGTGAATCATTACAAACACACACTGTTTATTTCGTCCCATGGAGCCGATGTGAGAGCTATTTTGGACCCTCGCAGGTCCCTTGTTGCTCTCTTCTTGATTCAAATGGGGATTCCCAGTGATTCTTGTCTCTAATGGAGCGTTACAGTACTATATGTAGCAGTATTGTTTTTCTAAGACAGTGTCTATGTGTGTCCCAGCGGCAGCAGCAGCCCAGGCCCTCCACCTGGCCAACCAGCCCCAGCAGCAGCAGATGTACTCTGCCTTGGCCCCCACTCCCCCCTCCATGACCCCGGGGCCCAACCCACAGTCCCCCCAGGCCTCGTTCCCCTCTGCCCAGCAGACGGTCTACATCCACCCCCAGCAGGTGCAGCACGGATACAACCACAACCACATGGCCCACGTACAGCAGGTAGGTCACATGATCACTCCCTCCTATCAGCTTTCAGGACAAACGGTAGCTTCATGAATGGGTCATTGTTGGGTGGTGATAATGTGGAAAGTGCAGTGGATATTTTTTGGGCATTCTGACTCCTGGGATGTGTATATCTCTTCCTGTGGTTGTGGATAAGAAAAGGTTTAAAGGTCACCTATTATGCAAAATCCACTTTTTCATGTCTTTTATACATAAGTGTCCCCTCTGTGTAAAGAGATTCTGAAAGTTTCAGGAAAAAAAGATTCATTCACTTTTTGTCCTGATCCATTTATATAAAAACCTGTCTGAAAATGAGCTGATCAGATTGTGGCCACTTTATGAAGTCATAACGATTTTTTGGCTTGTGTAACCATTAGCCAATCACCAACCAAGGTAACCCCCCCCCCCACACCTTATCACCTGAATCTCCTCCTAGAGCACCATTAGGCGCGTTCACACCGCAGTACTTTTCCCACTTTAGTTCCGATATAGTTCAGAAATGTCGCGTTCACACCAAAAAGAGCCGGAACTAAAATTAGTTCATGAGAACCTTTTTACCCCCTTTTCCGTCAGTTTTCCGTCCCTGCTAGAGAGCAGGTACTTTCGTGGGAGAAAAAGGTTCCTATGTCTGATTGGCTGGGCAGAATGCAAACCACGCCCCGTAAAACTCCCAAAAAGTTTTGTGAAGCCGTCATTTTATTATCCTCGCATTAGCATTATTAGCATTAGCATTAGCCCAGCGCAGAAACGCAGAGAGACTAACTTATGGCAACACAAAAGAAAACATGGGAGCAGTGGAGATGAGGAGGTGTCGGCGTTCTGGCGATTTACTCGGAAGGCTTCAGTAGAAGCTGCTGGGACTTCCGGCCGGGGACTTCGGGGCGGCAGTATACGCCGTGAAGTTGTTTGCGGCCTGCCAGTAAACCCTAAGCAGAAGAAGAAGAAGTGACGTCAGCGGCTTCATTTGCCTAATCCTCCCCCAGGGACTTATTCCGGTGTGAACGCGATCTGTACTTAGTTCATGAGAACTAAAGAGTTCTGATGAACCTTTGTGGGAAAAGTACTGCGGTGTGAACGCGCCTAATGTGTTCTTTTTAACCAAATATCTCTCAGAGGGGCGTGGGGAGTGGCTCCTTATTTTCAATCAGCACTTTTGAAACAGGGCTGAAACAGAGGGGATTATGGGATGCTACAATGCACGATCTGTTTGGGATTTTGAGCCAAACACTTCAGAGACATGTTTTGTATATATCTGAGACCTATAATATATTGATGAAAAACGGTATAATAGGGGACCTTTAAGCCATAAGGAAAACAAATCTTGTTAATTTCTACAAAAACCCATCCAGAGCTCCTGTCAGAAACACAGCAGGAGTTGTGAATGCCATGGCATTGATTCTTGTTTTTTAAGCTTTTTAATAAACCTGTTTTGTCATTGTTTTCACTTTGTCACACTTCTCCCCTCGCTCTCTCACAGGCCCATATGCAGTCTGGTTTGGTGCAGTCCCACCACCCGGGGCAGACCCACCCCACCATGATGCTGATGGCTACCCAGGGTCCTCCGGGGGGGCCGCAGCAAGCCATGCCCCAGAATGCCCTCAACCCCATCCCTGTCTCCTCCACCACACACTTCTCCTACCTGGCGCATCCACAAGGTACGCTTATTTCACCCACCAGAGCACTCCTGCGGGGTGGAGTCAGGAATACTGCTAATTTCTTTCTCTCCACAGTGAAGCTGTATGTGTGATGAACGTGTCATTGTACTCCACTAGCTGTTGGTGCACATGGGTCTGGGTCTACATCGAGTTAAATGAATGAGATCAATTTATTTGTTTTTTTACACATTGTGAAAACTGCACAGATTCACCCAAAATAGAATATAGATTAGATACTTCCCGGTTATAAGAAAGGTTGCAGTCTATGCTGATCTGCCACAATGTGTGGGTCAGCTGCTGGTTCTCATAGAGCAGGGGTGTCACTCAATTTCATTGCGGGCCACATTAGCATTATGGTTGCACTCAAAGGGCCGGTTGTAACTTTAAGACTATATAAAAAATATACATATATAATATATATATAAAATAATGTATTATATTATATTATTGCCTCTGCATTAGATTATTATCGGATAGGGTAATAATTCCATAATTAACTACGTCTGACAGCAGAAGTCTAGGGAAAATAATTGCAAGTCTCTTCAGTGTGCATCTCACAAAACGAGATGCATTGTGGGACATGTAGTTTATAATTGTGAACTCTCTATGAATCCATGACTCTAGCATTTCCCCCATTTTGTCTCGTCCCTGCAGTGCAAGCTCACCATCAGCAGCAGCTGTAGACAGGGGGGGGGCGCCAGCGAGCCACGCGCTTCTCAACCAGAGCCTCCATAACCCCGCGATGAAGAGAACCAGAGCCCTCCCCTCCCCTCTCCTCTCTTCTCTCATCCTCACCAGACTTGCTTCACATCAGCTTTTCTCTCCCCCCACTCCCCTTCCCTCCCTCCCTCCCCCCCTGACTAGGCAATAAGAGAACGTTAACAGGTTGATGCGGTGACATGTTTTAACAAACTAGAGTTTAACTGGCTAGTCTGCTCTTATTTAGCCCCTGTTAACAGACATCTGCACACACACACACACACACACACACACACACAGAAAACACAGACACACACACACACACACAGAAAACACACACACACACACACAAAGAAAACACACACTTCCAGGGGGCCCACATTTCAACTTGAGTCAGCTTGCCAAGTAAGAAGGTGAACGAGAGAATGAGAGAAACTAATCAGTGAGAGTGAAGAAGAAATTCAACTGGAACTTGTATTTTGTCTGCACCTTGTTCTGAAAAAAAAAATATCTTCCAACTTTTTAGACAGTATTAATCTTCTAATACTGTTTATTGCTGCTGCTATGTGCTGCGTTTTGTTTCCAGACGACATGACCGGTTTCTAACCAAACTAAAAACGAGACATGACGAGAAGCTTCCTGTGAAATAAACTCGTTTCAGCAGCCCAGAGGACAGGAGGAGAGTTATTTATGAAATTATAATGGCTGAGGTGATCAGATCCCACTTCTCACCTGACCCTTATGTAACTTTTAAGTTAAAACTTTTACTTTGTAGATAATATAAATAATTAAAAAAATGAGCAAAAAAATTTAAAAAAATAAAAAAGTTTTAAAAACTGAATGGCTTACTGTGGTTGCTTTGCATTGTGGGTATTTCATGTGTTTCTATATACAATGAGAGAATTTAGAGCAGAAAACACGCTTAGCCTCGTCCATTAAAAGCTGTTTTGTGGCAGGAGTACTTTTACTACCTTTTCCTGGAGCTTTTACTGCATGTCGCTGCATCATCATCATCCACTTCTCACACTGAAGTCACATGATGAAGAGTGCCACTGTTAGATGTGGTTGAAAAGGCTAGTGAGTGGACCTGAGTTAAGATCCTTTTGCAACACACAAGCAATTACATATAAACAGTGGTGATAGTAACTTAGTAGATTTACTGGGGTACTTGTACTTTGAGTATTTCCATTTTATGCTACTTTATACTTCTACTCCACTACAATTCAGAGGTACATTTTGTACTTTTACTCCACTACATTTATTGAATACCAGTAGCTACTAAACAGATATGGATTAAGGTTGTGAAATATAATCAACACTTAAATAAGACTTCAGTTCCACCTGAGGCCTGTACTACGAAGCTGGTTCAACCTAACCTGGATATGTTGGAGTTAGCCGGTTGGCCTAAGCCAAAACATACGCGCTGGCGCTAAACTGTACTACGACGCTGGATATCAAGTGGATCGCTCAAGCCGCCGTGTCCTATCTAGTTAGGTGCGCGTTCACATGAAAGGGGTGGTATTTGGAGCATTCGACCAATCTCAAACACGGAGAAGCGTACTGACAGCGCAGCGTCATACTTCCTGAATGAAAAGTGAACTTTAATATTAGTCAAATATGAAGAAGTTAAACTTTAAACATCCATGACTTAAACACTTTACCCAGGATAAAAGCCACATAGCTGCACCTGCAAGGTGAATACAGCTGGTAAAAGAAAAAGTGTTTGAATGCGTACATTAACAGGTTTATGAAATCACTGCCCCGTCCAAGACACGAGTGGATCTGACTTTAATTACATTTGACTCGAGTGTTTCGTCAACTTAATGTGTTGCTTAAAATAATACTTCTGCATACAGTATGTGACACTGAGTGTTGCACGGCCAGATACGGCTCAAGAAGCTGACTCAAATAAGGAAATATATGATACATTATGATGTGATATGATATGAATGATAATGGGACACATCGACGTCTGCACTCAGTGCCATGGACTGTACTTAATGTTACTCTGATCCGGTTACTTATGTCGTGGCAGATATTTAAGTAAGCTTTCTTAACGCTAATGTTATAATAGTCAGATTGCTCTGAAGATGGGAGGGGATATTCTATTAATTTTCACGGCCGTCTTTCCTGCAACGGCAGTTTTTCTGTATTTCCTCTATCCTGTAATATGAATTGATCGCTTTAAACTCCGCACACGGAGCTCTGATTGGTCAGCAGGCGGTGCTTTCACTGAGTTGATCTCTTAGCCTGCCACCTAACCTCCTCCGGAGCAGGTTTGCCGCTCAGCATAAGTTACCATGGAAATCTAGCCTGCTAAAAAGAGAACCAGCGTCGTAGGACCGGAAAGCCCGAGATTTCCCTGAATTTAGCCGGCTAAGCGAAAATCCAGCTTCGTAGTACAGGCCTCAGGAGTAAATTCAAAACCTAACATTCACAGTATACAAAGTCATTCAAACTAGCTGCACCTTTACCAGCTTTGATAACACTTTACTGCATCAATAACTATAATCAAAATATTTAATATATATTATTCTGAAATGGGCTAATCTGCAGAATGAGTACTTTTGATGCTAATACTTCTGTACTTTGAATGCAGGACTTTTACTTGTAACAGAGTATTCCTACACTCTGGTACTTATACTTTTACTAAAGTACATGATCTACGTACTTACCCACCTCTGCACATAAACGATGTAATGTCACGGAAAGTGAGGCTTACGTTATATCTTCTAATCTTATTTGGACTCAATGGAGAGGACATAATATTTTGGTTCCATCTAGATTCTGATTTAGTAAATCCACTTATCGAGGCTAACAGCTGACCTGGAACACAGCGTAATGAAACAGTTTATCTGTCACCTCCTTCTGAATAACAAGGACACACACAGACGTGAAAGAGCACACACACAAATCCCAAACTGATCATGAGTCTTTTTATGGTTAGGTTTATTTTACAAAAAGTCAAATATACAGTTGATATATATATATTTAATATAATTTAGATGCTTATAACTGAAAGGGATGCAAACACATTGAAAGAAAAGCTGCTGTGGGGGGGGGGGGGCTTTAGGGCTGGAATGTTTACAGTGCTGAGTTAACAAACAGGATGAACAGTATTGAGGACACAACTGGACATTTGAAAACAAACACCGGAGAGAGTAGAGGTGTTGCTGGAGCGCATGTTGAGGATTAAATACACCTGAGGTACACCATGATTGTTGTAAGTGCTAACTCGATTCTTGCAGACAAATTGAATTAAACCATGACACAGAAGGAAAAGCCAAAAAACGGTAGAAACATGCGGTAGTCCTGGTTTTAAATATAGCATTTCTTTCTGGGACTTTGGCATTTATCTATAAGCAGGTGCAAACATTGAATTCTTAATCCAGTCATCTCTGATCTCGTCTTTCATACATACTAAGGTGTGAAACATTGGGCGTCTCAGATATTGCACTACACAAGTTCTGCCCCACATCACACCCTGAGCTTTCACAAAAGGGGAAAAGCAACAGCAGCTTTCTGGCAAAGGCACAGTCATTCTCCCTTAGAATAAAAACAATATCAGCAAATAGAGGGGACTGATAGTCAAAATAGTTATTGTTACCGTTGCTTTCCTTTATCAGAGATAAAACAGAGAGGTGATTTGTTTAGACTCGGGCACATAGAGGCAGGAAGATCAACCGTACTTTTGCCAAAAACATCCTTGTTTTTGTTCCCCTTATAAAACACTTAAAAGATGTCAGTCTTGATCAAGATGATACATATAAGAGAACTACAAAACCATTGCCAAAATGTTCCTTTGGTAGACGAAGCTGACCTATTGCGGTCGTGTTCATGAGGACATTTGGTTGCATTTAGACATTTCTCTTCTTTAAGGAAAGGAAACTACACTGAGAAGAAGGGCAGATAAGACGGGTCTTATCCACACGTTAGGCATACGTTCACTGAAGGTACATCTTAAACAACTGCTAAAGTTAGTGTTAAAGCAAGGTTAGAAAACAGACAAGTCCTGGCAACATATTTCCCTAAAGCATCCCGTCGCTAAAGGAAGTGAAGCTTCAGGTGTTGAAACTAAATTACAGAACATTTTTGGTGTGTGTCAAAACGACTGCTCACTGTTTATGGGATATTTTGTGTTTTTTGAGAGGAGAGACAACAGGTAACTGAAACTGATCTACAAAGGCTGATCTCAAGATGGACACACCAACGGGTCACTAAGAAAATCAGCTGTTTGCTTTGGTAACCACTTCATCTTTTGGATTCCTTTAAATACAAATGTAGTAATGTCAGCTCTTGACAATAAAATTCACACATGAGCTGAAACCAAACCTCCCTCACAAAGTCTCTCACTGAAACCACTTTTATTAAAACGTGTATAAAAATATCGTATTTATCCGCCTGCTGCCGTTTTGAACTTGTACATAAAAATACTAGGAAAAATATTTAATGCTATGAGTGTAAAAAATAGAGAATCAAGATTTGCCTTAGAAAGTTGTAAGAAAATAAATGTTAAAATCGACAGGAGCTGCATCGCATTAGCCTGCTTTAAGGCTTTAAGGTGAGATTAATGTTAGCATGTTAGCTGAGATAATATCTGACCTGAAGTCTGTTTCATTTGTTCTGAATGTGGGACTAATCTGATAGAAATGGGCTCTGATGGTGGAGGATTAACTCTCTGTTTTGATCTTGCGGAGTGTTTCCCCCTTTCCCGCTCTGTGGAGTGAAGCTTTTCAAGTTGATGTTTTATTGGGGCGCATTTTTCAGCTTTTTCCAAATAAAAAAAAGATACCTTGGGAATGCCAAGGCTCATTTTGGAGGGGCAGAATACTTATTGAGCCTCATTACTAATTCGTAACACTTTTACTTAAATATATTTTGAGTAAGAGTGGAGGGTATGTTGTGCCAAATAATATACTACAATATTATTATGATATTACACAAATATTTTGGCCACATCGTGTTGCCGTCAGGAGAAAAGAGATGGATTACTCTTCTCCTGATGGCTCCTCTCCCACCACTGTAAAAATGAAATATCATAAAAGATAACTTTGTATCAAGTGTTTAAATTCATCAAATTAATACAGGGTTATAGAAAAAAATATATAAATTATATTATTGTATTTATATCATTAAATGTACTTTTTGTGGCAGGACTTATCTCTGTGAGACCATGTGACACTTTGTGCTTACTCAGAAGATAATGCTGCGTACACAAGGCCTCGGTGCTGGACATGTAACATGTGACACTACAGATGGTATTTTGGCAAACCTAGCAGTGAGTATTGGGACAGACTCCAGATCAGTGCTGATGGACACCTCGACTCCTCCCACATGAACAGAGCACACACAATAAAAGCAGTGCTGATGAAAGTTGATAATAATTCCTGGTTCTGTCTCTGCCTCAGCGACGGGCTGAAGTGATGGAAGCACTTCAAAGTAACAGCTTCCCACCTGACTTTTCCCCTTTTTAATGTCTTTTTTATTTTTTTCTATAAAAGAATCTGTGTATACAAAATACACATTGTTGTCAAAGTGCACTGAAAGCGTTGTGCACTTAAATATGAAATAATGCGCAAAAGGAGGAATATCTAATATAACATGTAGGCACTCTGAAATGAGAGTGCTTTCTCATTTCTGTGTTTGTACACAAAGCTCTGCGTGTGGAATGGGCTGGGGGACAGCTACACATGTGCCCCCCCCCCCCGCTCTCACACTGAACCTCAACATCAAGAAAACGAGAATAGTCATCATACTCAGCACTTTTATAAAACTCCCAAAAATACATTCACTGTGGACACTGGGTGGAGGCTGTGAGGGTCGGACACTGGTAAACACACTGCCAGCACAGACTGTGTGTCTGTGTGTGTCTGTGTGTGTGTGTGTGTGTGTGTGTGTGTGTGTGTGTGTGTGTGTGTGTGTGTGTGTGTTGACATCAGACAAAGTCTTGAAGCTCAGCAAAGAGTCTGCTGTGATCATGTTAGCATCCTGCGCTCTCTCTCTGAGAGTCTCACACAGACATGTGCAGCCGGGTGGGGGGGGGATCAGATGTGTGTATCAGGGTTTCCGTTAGCCGGTAGTTACCGGTTTTTAGCTGGTAAAATGTATTTAAAAACGGTAAATTCAAAACCTGCCAGTCAAAATGTCCGGTAATAATAATCTGTCGTGGCAGCGGAGCTGTTGGCGGTTGTCAGAGCAACATGTACTGGTTGTCAGAGCAACATGTACTGGTTGTCTATCGCCCTCTTGCGCCCCCGCTCTGGCTCCAGCTCGTAGTCTGAGTCCCGCTGAGGGAGGTGGGGGTGGCGGAGCAGGGGTCTCCTCCCCACAGATTCACTCTGGAGAAGCGGAGCTGGGGCTGACGGAGGAGGGTCCGGGGCGGGGTTGATGCGGGTGGAGGGGCGGCCCGGGGGCTGGGCGGCGGCCCGGGGGCTGGGGGAGCAGGAGGAGCGCGGCTGGCTGCAGTGAGCCAGGCTGGGCTCTGAGCTCCAGCGGTGCAGAGAGAACGGGACCAGGAGGGCGCCCGAGAGCTGGCCTGAGGGAGAACATAAAGAGGGAAAGAGATTTTAGTATCAACACGCAAAAACATACCTGGAAGAGAAAGACAAGGTGACCTACAGCTGGTCATTTGTTATTTTTCTATTAACTTGTTGTCATTTTGAAGAGTTTTGTGATGAGTTAACTTTCTTGTGTTTTCACATTGGGACGCCTTGTGACGCCTTTAATACATAGCAATGTATACTTGTTTCACCAATGTGAACAGTTCCAACAAAGACTTCAAATGATGTCATTTTGCTTTTGGTTCAGAGAACGTGGCAGCATTTCACAACCAAAAACAAAACTTACAGAGAAGAAATGTGTTATGTAACGAGGTAAACCATGTTTTTATCCCCTCTGCATTTAGCACCCTCTCTAAATGTATCCTGTGAGCCAGAAGAGGAGTCCCTCCCCTCAGGTTGGGTACAAGTGGTTTGGATAATCTGGCAACATTTTATTTTTAAACCTGGATTGTTTCCTACCCTACTGAACTTTGTTGTCGCCAAGTGACCATGTTACAACATCCTGGCAGTAACTTCTGTACATGCAATGTTATCCCATAAACAATAGAACCCAAGTTGTATTAAACATGTTGATGTAAACATAAAAACTCAGTCATATCTCTCTGAAACAGTTGTGATATCTGAGAGCTGGATGGGGGGTCTCACCCTGTGACGGGGGGCTGGAGCCCGCCACCACGAAGCTGGACAGAGTGACGGCGCCGGCGGCTCCGCACTCCAGCGGGATGGGGAAGAGGCGGAAGTGACTGAGCATGTCCATCACAGAGGGGAAGCGCAGGTGCTGGACCCTGCACTGACCCCACTCTGTCAGGGAGAGGCGCAGGTGCTGCAGGGACACAGACGTGAGGAAGGGAAGACATCAAGAAAAGATACATTTCACACTGTTTTTATACTGAGAATGAGCTTAAAGGTCACCTATTATGCAAAATCCACCTTTTCATGTCTTTTATACATCAACATGTGTCCCCTCTGTGTAAAGAGATTCTGAACGTTTCAGGAGAAAAGATTCGCTCTCTTTTTTGTTCTTTTTAACCAAATATCTCTCAGAGGGGCGTGGGGAGGGGCTCCTTATTTTCATCTAAGTAACAGACAGAGAATCAGCACTTTTGAAACAGAGGGGTTGTGGGATGCTACAATGCACGATCTGTTTGGTATTTGGAGCCAAACACTTCAGAGACATGTTTTGTATATATCTAAGACCTATAATATATTGATGAAAAACAGTATAATAGGGGACCTTTAAGGTTTTCACTATTAGAGGTACGTCTGCATAATGCTTCCTCATGTAAGCATTTACCAGTGTTAGGAAATGAGGTGGTTACTAGTTTGACGCATTCAGGGCAAATAAAAAGGAACAATGTGGGTTTGGGTTTATATTGCTACATTTTATCGGTGAACCACCTCGGCTGCGAGTCTCAGTGAGACGTACCTTGGCCTTCCCCTGGTAGTTGAAGGTGAGGACGTAGTCTCCTCTCCGTGTCTCGCTCTGACGGACCAGAAACACCCCGTGACCCTCCGGGCCGGAGCTCTGCACCAGGTGGGCCGCCTTGACCCTGGAGATGGGCCCGTGGAACCATGGGTAGGAGAACAGGAAGTGGTCGGCCTTCTGCACGACCTGCTCAGGCAAGGAGAAGGTGACAGGGCCTGGAGGACGGAACAGAGAAACAAATGGTTAAATTATTGATTTATCATAAAGCTGGACCAATCTATTAATATAAGAAAATAATCAAATGATTACTATCTGTAATGTGAACGATTTCTTTCGTGTTGACAAACCTACAATGAATCCTTACCCACTCTAACTCAGCAGGGTTATTTTTATTGAATGTGATGGCCCACGTCTCAACAGTTTCATTTCAGTCCCTCAGCTCTAATCAGGGTTGTTTTCAGCCGCAGCTGCTCCAAGTAAATAAGCTATAAAAACCTTCTGTGCACTTCCTGCTCGCACCAAGCGGCAAATGGAGAAAGTTAGTGACATGTGGAGCGGCTAAAGAGCTACATTTCCCTCAGGAGATGTTAAAGAATCAAATGGAGCTAAAGGGAGAGTGCTGGACTAAAAACTCTAAAAATAAAAATGCTGCATTGATTTGGAATCACTGGGTCAAATGAAGCTGTTGAATAACTGAAACTGGAATCAGCTGCTGATAAAATCAATTAAAGTAAGAATGGAGGTATTCAAAATGACATCTTTCGGTTGTTTATGAAGTCCATAAAAAAAGCCTTTTTTTAGAAGACTGCATTCAGAATTACAAAGGGAACGCGAGGCTTATAGCAGGGTTATAACTCTTTTTAAAATGAGCACACAAACACTGATTGTTGGAGGAAGTGTCTCCTCACCCCCCCACCCCACTCACTTTGACTCCCTAACTCTGAGCTCCCTCTGTGACTGGCTGGAGCCGAGCTGTCTGCTGGGGGGGGGAGAGGCTCCAGATCCACACTGCCTGACCTGAGGACAGAAACAGATTCAGATTACACACACTGCATCAACACATGTTGTTCTCATTGTGGACCACCTGGGGGGGGAAATAGGTCACTTTCATGATTATTTCATTTCATTGTAAGACATCGTTTCCCATCTGGGTTTCACCATCTGTCTTATAAGAGCGCTGCAGCTCTGTTTGTGCTGGGAGATCAGTGTCTTCTTTCAGAAGTGTGGTGAAAACACATTGAAGTTGCTGTAAAAAAAATAGGCTGCATTTAGCGTCTGTAATTACACCAGTGTCTCCGAAAAAATGTGTTGACGTTTTATTGATGTCAACATGCCACATATCACTTTTCAGTAGGATGAGGGAAAGCAATAGATATGGGTAGGACATTAAAGAGAGGTGTGTGAGTGTGTGTGTGTGGAGGGTTTAGTGAACATGGAAGAAACAGCAGGCTGAAGTAACACAAAGTCACCAGGCACAGACAGGAAGTGAGGCCAGTTCACATCTGAACTAAGACTTACTGTTCTTCTGACACACACACACACACACACACACACACACACACACACACACACACACACACACACACACACACACACACACACACACACACACACACACACACACACACACACACACACACACACACACACACACACACACACACACACACACACACACACACACACACACACACACACACACACACACACACACACACACACACACACACACAACACACACACACACACACACACACACACACACACACACACACACACACACACACACACACACACACACACACACACGGTTAAAGAGGGAAGCCTGAGCAGATCCTGCTAAAACGCTGACTTGAGTTTGCTCTGAATAACAGGAAGACATGCCTCCTTTCTCCTCACTCTTGTGGGGTCTTGTTCTTCTATCTTTGTGAGAATCAGCTCACGTTTTATTATTATTGCAAAGTGAGGAGATTTTGCAGAGAGTGGACATCTCAGCCAGTCAGCAATGCTACACCTCCCACATCCGGTACACACTCACTGACTCTCTTGGTTTATAGTCTCGATTTGGGATGAGGGCGTACGCAGGCCTTTTTTCCACAGCCAAAGTGTATGACAGGAAAAGCACAGGTGTTACTTATAATGATGGCTCTGTTCTATTCAAGGGTCCCAGTGAGCCATAGCAGCACAAACAATATGAGTCCCCTGAAACAGAAACACCTGTCTGTGCTTTTCCTGCTGGGACATGCGCTGAGAAAGGCCTATCGTTTCTCCAAGGGCATTCATGGTGTTGTACCCAGTTGTACGCGCGCAGTGTGATGTAAGTAAGCGTGTGAAGAATGAAAAAGAGGATTGACTGCACACCTGGTGAATCCCTGTGTGAAGTGGCCATTGTGTGAGAGCTGTTTGAAAAGGTGTCTACAGACAGGCTCTAAACCAACAAAAGAGAGGGCTGTGTTTTTTGACTCAAAATTGTCCTGACTGTGGACTTAAATGATTTTGACAAGCATTCAGTTTAATGAAGTTAAAAGACTAGTTGGAATGTGACAGTTCATATGCGGACAAAGGATGCATGATAAAAGGCCCGCTCTCTGAAATCAGTCATAAAAGTGGGTTGAAAGAGAATTTGGGGGATAGAGTTTTAAAGGTCAGATTTCTTCTCCGAATTCACATTCACATCAGATTAGAAGATTAAAAACGACACATATTTGGCCCTATATTAGGTTATTACAGATGTATTGGTATTGGGGTACATGCCGGCTGAGAAGTGTCCCCATACAAAAATGCCAAACTAGGATTGAGGTAATTTTGTAAAATGTCTCAAAAGGAAAGTTTGTTCATCAAAGAATCTTCCGTTCAGGATGAAAGAAACACATGTATCAATAAGTATCATGTTATGTAATCATGTGAAATGCATTATTGGCTGGACTAACGCACACACACCCACACTTGAATACATTCCTGCACATGTTTACTTTGTGAAGTATCTGAACAAACAGTGAATTCGAGAGTGAACTCTGACTTCACCTCCACACTTGATGAGTGTTCACTTACTGTACCGCTGACTACTGACTGTGTGTGCGTGTGCGTGTGCGTGTGTGTGTGTAAGAGCATTACAGACATCTGCAGAAATGAGAAAGGTCCTGAGATTCTCCCAAGTCTCAGACCTCCCCCACACTTCCTTTCACACACACACACACACAATCACGCACGCAAAACACACAGACGAGTATCCTCTGAAACAGGTCACATTTTTTGGGTTGAATCCTAATTTCTTCTGATAAAAGATAGATTTTGTCACACTGAAAAGAATAGTATTCGTGCAGTATGCCTCTGTACAACAGCATTAATATGATAATCCCTAAACAAAGATATTTGCCCCAAATTCTCAATTTATGGGCTATAGCTCCTTTGAAAAAACATCTCAACCTTGAATTTCTACATTTCTAAATGTTAACTTCTTTCCTGACTTTAATAACTTAAAAAGTCGTGTTCAACAACTTGAATTGATTGCACAACGTTGATCATAATACTCCCCCAGAAGATGTGTTAGCTCTCACAGGCTGAGTGTAAATATTAAGTTGACTGCTGAGTTTGATGAATTATTATTTCCAGGAATATTTACAAGACTCAAAGTTGCTCCAGTCTGTCAATCCCAAAAGCTCACACACACAACGCAGAATCTTTTTACTTGCTAACACAAGTGACCTCAATTATTATTTCATGACTAACATTTCGGTCGGAAAAAGTGATGTAATATAACCTCTAATTTGTGGTTACAAAATGAGTTGGAACTTGAGTCATGAGTTTGACTCACACTGCTCAAAAAAGTTGAAATATTCAAAATGGAGAAAATCAGCTTCAGGTAATAACAAGTATTGAAGTCCTTGTTTTTTTTAAGTGTGTCTCACCTGTTGCTGATACATTCTTTTAGCTCTGTGGTCCAGGAGCTGACCTGCTGGTCGTTGTCCGTCTCGAAAATCAGACTACCTCGATTAACCTGCAGAGACAAAGAAGCTTTCAAACATACCATCCATATTACACAGACACCGAAGTTCAAGAAATGGCCGAGACGCATAAAAAGGCCAATTTTCTAGTGCTTCACATGCACTGGCAGCAGGCTTCATATTGCTTTTTTGATGACGCAAAAGTAGCCAGGTATTTTTATTTACCCATTTCCTTTAATAGAAGGCTCATTTATTTTCAGCAAAAGTCCGGCTACTAACATGGGGGGAAAGTAAGCACACTTTCCATTATTGATGTGTAAAACTACGATCAAAACCAAGGTGGAAAGATGCCGTCCCGCCCACCCATTCTCAGTGGTTAAATTACCCAATGTGTCTTACACTAAAAAAAAGATCCGTTACTCAGTCTGTGGCTCAAGTAGTACGTTCCATAAGGTATGGGGACCATTCCTAAACACTTTCAGAAGTCATGCTGATGGTGTACTCTTGCAAAATTATGATTGTACTAGTATTATTATCACTGTCATTATTAACATTACTACCACTATTTGTATTCATATATTTATTTTATTTTTGTTTCTTTTTCCATTATTCTGTCTTTTGTCCCAGACTCCCAGCTACTCTCTTTTCTTTTCTTTTCTACTCCAGAAATGTCATGTACATGTTTTCAGGTCTGATCTTGGGGAAGGGATGAATGTGTAATGTGTGATTGTCTTAAAAAATCTAATAAAAGTATTTCTGAGAAAAAAACTGCTATCAAATACTTACTGTTGTCTCTGTAGATTACAATTTTCTTACAGGCATTCTTTGTGGCTATACTGTATTTTGGTGATACAATGGAGGATGTGGATGGATGTCTGAGTAGTGAACACTGATGTAAGAAGTTTTCTGTGGATGTTTTGAGTTTTTCCCCTCATGTAAACACTTGCTGTGACTTTGAACCCACAAGGTGGTGAGTGTTTAAACTCAAGAGACAAGGTTTGGGAGGAGAATAAACCAACAAAGTCAAAATGAAGACCGTTTGGTGAGTTTTGTTATGAAATGATATGACACAAAGATTGTCCTGTTTCCTCTTCATGTTGAATTGAGGGTTGGAGTTCAAAGCAAATGTGTATGTCAACAACACGGTGGGCGGAAGGACGGAGGGACCTGCACAGTACATAACGGTATCGTCCGCATAAAAATGTAAGGTTGCTCCATCGACATTTTCACCTAAACTATTGATGTAGATGGAGAATAAAAGTGGACCTAAAACAGAACCTTGAGGAACACCATTAGTAATGTTTAACCACTCAGAAGACAGCCCATCAAAATGAACACATTGGGACCTTTCAGAGAGGTAGTTCACAAACCACCCTACTGCATGGCTGGATATGCCAATACTGAGTAGCCTCTGCTTTAAGATGCGATGATCGACGGTATCAAACGCTTTGGACAGGTCACTAAATAGAGCTGCACAACTCTGCTTATTATCTAAAATACTCGCCACATCATTCACCACTTTCATTGTGGCAGTGATGGTGCTATGTTGCTTTCTAAAGCCTGACTGATGTTTAGACAGGATGTCATTTGTACATATAAACACCTTTACCTGTTCACTCACTAGGCATTCAAGAACCTTAGCCAGAACTGACAAAAAAAAGCCTGTACATACCTTTAAAACAAATGTGTTTAAGTTGTCAGGCATCTCCAGCCGGTTGCAACGACGGACTTCTTGGATATCTGAGCAGTGAGTCGTCAGCTTGGGACAGGAGGCCTGAAAACATCATGAAGAAAAGAGACGGTCAGAAATACCCAACGCTATCTCATGGGAAGAAAGAGATAGAAGAAACTGAAACAAAGAAAAGTGAGTAACTGAGTGTGAACCTTCTACACTCCAAAATTATACTCCAACAGATAAATGTATTTTCAGAATATATATATATATATATATATATATATATACACACACACACACACACACACACATATATATATATATATATATATATATATATATATATATGTATATGTGTGTGTGTGTGTGTGTGTGTGTGTGTGTGTGTGTGTGTGTGTGGAGGAACTGAGTCTTCAACCAGCCTCAGCTACTGAACAACACATTTGACAGTTGTTTTAAAAGTGTGTCTATGCTACTGTAAGCATATATTCCTGCTGCTACTACTACTACAGATCTTCAAGTCAGTGGTAGACATGTTAACAACCTACAAAAGGGAACAAATGTGTTTTTCTTTTTATTAATCAAAGTTGGTTTTGTATTGAAAATTCAGTAATGACAGCCAAATATGGTATGGCCATTTAGGCAACCTACGTAGAATTAACTTAATATACCTACTCCAGAATTGTTATACTGTTTATATCTGATGTAATATTTTTCATTTTATTTTTACTTTACATCACGCTACAGGCCAGTCTGCGAAGAAGAACAGCGAGGTGGGGGGTCAACAGTTTAAAGAAATGATCTAGAAAATGGGTCTCTGGATAAATATAATGGCAAATGGGATGTTTGATTCTAGAAAGTCAAATGAACCTTCCATTATCTGGACGACAGATATTCCATAACCTTGGCAAATATAAAACAAACTTTATAAACATGAGCATAATAAGCTGCCTTAATTGAAATGTAATGCAGGAGTCAAACGCTCACATTTGTTGCTCGATTGTACATTAGTCATTTTCTTACTTAAATATCTAGCAAATCAACAATCAAGTGGCTTGTACTTGCAAGAAAACTAACTTCCTTCACGTAAGATAGATATAATGGAGTTGACTTCTGAGAAGGGTGTCACTGCAACACGTCTGATTTGATCAGTTAAGCTAAAGATACCACTAACAGCACAGGATGTCCATGTGTACATCGTGTGTATATGTGTCTGGACGTGTGAAGCCTGCAACTGAAGCCTCCCTCAGTGACAGAAAGGCAGTGAATCACATGAAAGAAGAGCATGATGGGAGCTCTCATGGTTGAGCTATAAGGTCGACCCCGACAGGACAAAGTGAGTGAGATACGAGGGGCTTCATGGCGGCACACCGTTACGAGGAAATTATGCTGGGACAAAACCATCAGTGATCCTTGCTTTAAGCACTAATAAACAGACATGTGGGTACTTCAAACATGATGACCTGCAGCAAAGCTCGACAGGACGAGAGAGAGCGTGTGTGTGTGTACAAATCACTGATAAAGCGAATCGGAGCCTTCGAACACACACACACACACACACACACACACACACACACACACACACACACACACACACACACACACACACACACACACACACACACACACACACACACACACACACACACACACACACACACACACACACACACACACACACACACACACACACACACACACACACACACACACACACACACACACACACACACACACACACACACACACACACACACACACACACACACACACACACACACACACACACACACACACACACACACACACACACACACACACACACACACACACACACACACACACACACACACACACACACCTCTGAAGTGAAGCCTGGGTGACAGCTGATAGAAACACGTGGAGACACAAGAGTCTGCAACTATTATTATTAGTTTAAAACCGTGTGTGTGTCATGTGTTGGCTTCCTGTGTAGATATAACGATCAGTTCATTGACTTGGGGACTGAACAATATGAAATGTCTTCATAATTATCCTGTCCAAAAGAGTTCACAAACTTATCTCTAGTTGCAGCTCTTCTTATGCATACAAATATGAAACTGTGTTTTTTTTTTTTTCAAGTAACCACCTAAAAGGAAATCAACCAAATTCATAAGAATAAAAGAAAAGTATGACTAAAAAACGTAAAATCCTTAAGACAATTTTATTATTTGGAGAGGTTTTAAATATTATCACCAAGCCCAGGATGGAGTCTCCTAAAATTATATTTGATCCAACAATTGGGAACAAAGTAACCCTTCTCCAGCACACAGCGTGACACTAACAAGCTACATTGGATTAACATGAAACCCTATGGGGACAAACGAATATGCAAAAACATAACAAAAAAGGAGAGGTGGAGGGGGGAGGGTGGCGTGAGAGAGCGTGAGCAGCAAAAGGAAACAGACGAGACGGTGAAAGACTCGCCGTTGGTGGGAGAGGAGGGGGGGATGAAGAGGGAGGGATGAAGAGCAGAAGAAGGAGCGGGAGGACAGATTCCAGGGCTTTGTGCACCGAATGAGTTAGAGTCTATGTGACAGTGTGTGAGCCTGAGGAATGTCTATGATAATCCTACACACACGCACATAAACACAGGCACACACACTTCAAAAGAATAGATTAACCCCCACTGGACACATTTCTTCAGCTAGCCAGTGATGTGATCGATGCAGCAACTCCAAAAGCTTCAGCCGCAGCGTGTAATAATATCAATGAGAAGCAGCGTGACACAGATGAGCTGGATGTGACTCATTTACAAAGATCTGACTCAGGGACTCTGGAACTGACTCAAAGTTGTACTGCCACAGGATGTTAAATTCTGCTTCTTCAGATTCAGGTTAAATCGGTCAGGTTTTCTTATAACTAGAGAGTCAGAAAGATGTAATCAATATGTTCTCAGAGGAAACGTGCGCATGCTTCTAGGAAAGTGTGCACTCCAAGCACGTACGGAGTAAAACACGACTGTTGATATTGTACGAGATACTTTGCAAAAACACATGATTGTCGATTTGTAAGAGACTCGTAGTATACATGAATGCTACAGAGGCTGCTAAGAGATTTAAAAACAAATCAATAAAGTAAATACAATATTTTAGGAGGTGCATCGTTTAATGGTTGCCTTGGAAACTGCTGACAAAACAATCTTACTTCAAGGTTGATCAGGACATTATTTAGATTTTTTATTTAAATTGCTGTTTGGATATGATAAAAATATAAATGTAATTATTTAAATAATTAATAATCATTTATCATATTTCCAGCAAAAATATAAAACCTTTTTCTGTTTCGATATCCTGCTTTTCTGTTTTTTTTCAATCTTAAACTGAGGATAAAAACTACTTTTTGTGGGGTTCTGCAAAATTGTTACAATCATTTTTGAATGTTTTCTGACATTTAAAAGTGATTAACTGAGAAAATAATAATTGTTAATCACATCCCTACATGGAACACATTTAAAATGAAAAAGATACGACAACATTTGACTGGAACCAGTTTACTTATATTTGGACATCTATCTATTTCATCAACGTCCTAGGTACACAGGATGTGTACCTAGGACATGTGGTAATGTGTGTATGTGTATGTGTATGTGTATGTGTGTGTATGTGTGTGTGTGTGTGTCTCTGAGATGGGGTGTCTCATTGAGAGATATTTATTGAGATTGTGAATGAGTTTCTGACTAAGAGCATCTTTAAGGAACCATATGTGTCTGTGGGGGGGGGGGGGGGGGGGGGGGGGGTGGGGGGGGGGGGGAGCAGGCAGCAGATGTCTGACTGGTTGAGCAACACGCCTGCTCTCTGTGAATCCACTTCATCAAGGGAGCAAGTTCAAGCTCACAGCACACTACAGTCTGTAATACTCCCGAGAGAGGGCACACACACAAACACACACACTAAACAGCTTTTACCCTTTGTTTAATCTAAACACAACTCCTTCAATATTATTTCCTTAAAAAACACCGCAAACAATGTGGGAACACTTTGTGAGCATTCATCTTTGAAAGCATGATGAATATCAACCACAAAGAGATACAGAACAACCAAAGAGACACAGAAGGACCACATGAAGGCTTAAGATGACAACCTAAAGAGACTCATAGCGTTGTCTTTACTTGTATCCATTGTCAAATCTGTCTAGGCTGTAGACTATTGGAGTTACAAATAGCAGCATTTCACTGATATGTTTTCATTTTGGATTCCTTTTTTTGGCATCAATTTATGACTTTGAATAAACAATCTAACGAACAAAATGTGACCTTTATTAAAGCCAAGAACCAGGGCTTTAAAGGTGGGGTAGGTAATTTGAGAAACCAGCTCGAGTGCGCTAGATTTTGAAAATACACAGCCGGAGAAAATCTGCCACTTCCTTATAGAGCCCCTCCTCCAACACACACAAACGCGCGCATGACCAATGAGGGCACGAGATAAGTTTGTGCACAGATGGAAGGCTGACAGGCAGGTAGGCCATCCAGTTATTTTAGCCGGGCCAGCTAAAATGATTGGTCGTGCTTTTTACAGCGCTACGGCTTCCACTTAAGATATTCATTGCTATCGGGATGTTAAGAGCATTCCATGGAATATAACAAAAAGTGTATCTCGAGCCGGTTTCTCAAACTTACCTACCCCACCTTTAAATGTTCATTACTGGTGTGCAGGGGTTTGAGAGACTGGTTTCACGAATAGAGTTTGAGTAGTCTCTGAAAACACAGCAAAACATTTAGGGAGGGTTTTTCAAAATGTCTTTAATGAAACCTTTTGTCATTTGCCTGCAGACTTTGAGTCTAAAGGCTTAATGTTCCTCATCCGAGAAGTGGAACCAATCAAAGGTCACTGCATACTCACAGCTCCACTATTTCAATAATAATAATGTATTCCGGACAATTTCTTCCATCAAGTGTCTCCTTCAGGGGGACTAAAAGCAAAGGCCACATGTGGAAATGTCTCACTGCATTATTGATGCTTCAGAGCTTTGACTGAGTGTAGATCCGTTTCAAGATGAATTTGACAGGAAGAACAAAGAGAGACTGGAGTTTTATCAGAAACATATTATTGAGATGTAAA